ATTACTAAAGATATTGGAGTATAAACTTACGAGTTATGATTTTGTTTATTAGATTCAACTGATGTATTATGTGTAACAGTCGTATTTAATGGTTTAGTAGCTTGGTTATGTTTTTCTATTAATTTCTGGGCTCTTTCTTTTTCCTTTTGTTGTTCTTCTTTCTCTGCTGCTTGTTTAGCCAATCTGGCTTTCTCAAGTTCTCGTAGTTTTAACATATCTTTCTGTATTTGTACTTCTCTTTCTTTTTTCTTTTCCAGTTCTAATTTTTCTCGCTCAGCTTTTTCTTTAGCGTATTGTTTTTCTCTGTAAAAATAGCATTGAAATTTTGTAATTAATAGTCAGAAAAAGATATTTTATACGAATGTGACACCAGTTTGGTCAATATTTACAGATAGGAAAAATCATAAACTTTCAGTCTTTTTAAGTGGATTAATCTGTAAGTAACCTTCTCTGGGGTTTTAATAACTGTGAAATTTGGCTTTTACATAAATATAACTTAAATCCATACTTTTTCAGTATTCTGACAGTGTTGTGAATACACATCTTATTTCTTACATCAAAAAGTAGAATTGATGGCATGCAAGGATTGTCAAAACCATGTACTAAAATCCTTTTCTTGTACTGCAGAAATCCATTAAAACATGACTAAAATTTTCCATAACATTACCTTTCTTCTCGATGTCGTCGATTTTCTTTTTCTCTTTCTAATTCTATCTGTAAAAGTCTTTCTTTGTCGAGCTGTCGTTCTCTTTCAGCTTCAGCCATTCTTTCATCATGTCTTTGTTTTTCTTCTGCCAATCTTCTCTGTCTTTCCAGATCTTCAGTTGCTTTCTTTTTCTCTTGTAATTCACGTAACAATCTGTCTTCTTCCTCCTGAAATCAGATATAGTATACATTAACATTTTCAATTTTCAGAAGGGAATGGAATTTTCACATAATATATTGTATTGTAATCAATCAGCAGGTAGTTTTCTTCCATTTTGATGCCCATGTCAAAGGAACCAATAAAAAAGAAATTGTTCAACACAAACACATATATATATATTATATATGGATCATTCCACAAATAAGGGGACCAAATTGAAAATTCATACATATCATTGCTCAAAGCAACAAAACCACCCGATTTTCTGATCACCATTGTTGAAAAAAGTAATTGATCATGTAATATTTTCATTATTTTATAGTATACTTATTTATATTTAAAATACTCAAAATCGGTTTCTGGTTAAATTTTTGAATGTTGCAATTCGTGGTGTCCCTGAATTTTTGGGTTAAGTTTTGGGGACATTTTGTACTTAACATTTTAACAACTGGACCATGTAGAGCACAAGATTAATATTTTCAAATATTTTCACAAAACATGCAGCAGAGAATCTATGATTTCGTTTACTAAGTTTTCATTTCTAAACAACTGGTAAGTAATCTCAATTAGAGGATTTTCAATCACGTCCCACAACGTAAATTTTTGTGTCCCTAATATTTACGTTGTATTTTTGTTATTTCAGCTACGATCTTACTTTGAAAAATCAAAACAAAATATTTCATCTTAATTCCATTTTGTTAAAGTGGAAGTAAATAAATTCTGAAAACATAATTAGATGTATTGTGTTAAATTGTCTGTGTAAGTTTTATTAGCTTTGTCGATATTGGAAATTTGAGTTCCTTGTTCAATTTACGAAGTGCCTGCTTATGCCGATTGTAATGCCCTACATTAGCTGTGAAACACGTCAGAGAGAGGTGTTTATTTTATGGTCACATGATAGACATATCTGAAGCAGACAATGGCCTGGTGAATGGATATTTTCTGAATAAGTTTGAATCAAAGTTTAACTTCCCTGTATTTACATTGTTATCGAAATTACGTTGTGATGTGAATTTTAGTGCATATGATGCATAGATGTTGAACGTTATAATTGCCGAGTCCAAGAAAACAGTATTCTTCCATAAATGAAAATTATCGCTTACTTGGTATTCGGGGATCAAGTGACAGAATGGTCACGGTGTTTGAATATAATCATGAAAATGGGAAACCAAAACTTTCGTGTCCCTATTATTAACTAGATATTGTATTAGTATACACGTATAAATTATAACCAATGCTACATTATTTTCTGTTTCCTGTAGCATGGTAACAATCCTGAAATGTTACTTTGCTCTTTTCAAGCCTTTGGTTCATTTTTTTGCCTAAATGGATTCATAGCTTAAGCTATTGAAAGGGACACAACCATTTCTCAAAGACTGCTACTGATTTTGATTGTTGAAAGTGTATCCATTGTTCAAGTTTTAAAGGAGAAATACTACATAACATGGTTTGATTAAATTATTAATCACAGTAAACCTTTCCATGTTGATTTTTCCGGATACTGATTTACAAATAGTTCATATCGATTGTTAAGGTCAAACAAACTTCAACAATTCTGTAAAATCTTTATTTCATTAAAAATCTTGAGAGACTTTTCAGTTTGTATCGCGAATTTGGGAATATCAATGAAATCGACATTGGCTGGCTAGAGGTGTTGGCACAAATATACACTATTTCTGCTTAGACTTCTAATAAAGGTGCCTCATTTGAATAATAATACATCATGAACACATTAGTATTTCTTATACATGTACAGAAATTTAGCATTAAAAAAAGTCTTATTTGGTGTCCCTTTACACGAGAAATCTGTACATAACCTGTCATGTAAAATCATTCATATCTTTTCTTTGGAACTCGACAATTAAAAATCACCAACTGTCCTTCAAATGGCATACCTTGCTCTTATTATTAGTATAATTTTATCAGTGATTGAGATTAGTTAAAATTTGAGTACCTACATTGTATGTCACACATTGGACCCCTCATGTAAGCCTATCTTAGAGTGTAATCGGTGAAACAATAGGTAGTGACAACCCTTTGAGGCTATGTCCCCTGCCGAAATCCCGAAATATATAGTTGACGCATATTAATTAATTGCACATTTATCTTTTTCAAAGTATCGAGAATTCAAAATGATTATCAACTATACACTTAGTTTCATCACTCTCTATCTTATCAGATAGAATCAAAGTCAATACATTCACCTAATGAACATCAACATCAAGTTTAAACATTATATACCTGAATTAAAAAAGCAGAGTTGTTATGTTTCAAAGTCCTGACCAATCAAATTGCTTATCGCTCCTTAGCCTAAGCAGAAAGTTCTCATCAAACTTAGTCAAGGTAATGATATAATAAATCTATACTCGCAGTTTCATAGCTTTTACTTAATTATAAGCAAAGTTATCATGCCCAAAAGCATCAACCAATCAAATTGCTTATCTCTGCTTACCGTGAGCAGACAATTTTCATCATCAAACTCCATCAAGGCATTCACCTAATGAATGCCTACACCAAGGAGAGTTATTGTGTTTCAAAGTCTCGACCAATCAAATTGCTTATCACTCTGCTTACCCGTAGCAGAAAATGTTCATTCTCGAACTTAGTCAAGGTGTTGATGTGATAAAACTATACACCAAGTTTCATCACTCACTTAATTAGAACTAACGTTATCATATCCCAAAGCATCAACCAATCAAATTGCTGATCTCTGCTTACCCTAAGCAGAATATGCTCATCTTCAACATCAAGGCATCAACCTAATAAACACCTACACCAAGTTTGAACATTCTAGCTCTTCCAAAGGCGATGGACAATAATTACAGTATACCAAGACAATAATGATGCATTCAAAATGTTTAATGTGTAAAGGAGGTTAAAACATTGTAATGCAGAACCTGTTTGAAAATAACAATTGGGTGTTTTCTTCTGACACAATAAGATGATCTTAAAGTCAACCTATTTCAAAAAGAAATTCAGCTTTTATAAATACCAACATCTATTTATTACTCTACCTGTTCTTCCTTTTTTCTTAATCTTTCTTCTTCATCTTGTTTTCTTCTTTCTTCAGCCTCTTTCTGTTTCTGAAGTCTGAAATTAAAATTATGATCGATAGATTAAACATACATTATGCAAGAGCTAAATCTGCCTATTGCAGGTATTTCTTTAGGCCTGAAATGTTATATAAACTATTTGACATTTATTAACAAAACAATGACCATAATAAACTCTTGATGGCATCGGCTACTCAAGATTCTTAACTAGATTAAAAAGGTTCGCCATTTAAAAATTTAATTTAAAAATTGGAAAGCGAGGCCAAAACTCGAAAATACCAGTGCCCTGGTTACCACAATGCACACATCTTGTCAAAAATAGATTCAGAATGAAGAAAATTGAATGAAATTTTTCAATATTTTTGAGCTATTATAGCAAGAATGGTCAGCTTTTTATCTAAATCTTACATAATGTATCTTTAAAGATACATTATGGGAGATTAGATAAAGAGCTGGCAGTTCTCAATATAATAGTTAAAAACTAGATAATGTAAAATTAAAATTCTTTTGAGTAGGATTGTTCTGCTCCAGTACAAGAAATAGAGCTAAACTTAAAGCTAGCTCCATATTTCGTCTCTTAATGGGTCTTCCCCCAATTCTTGCCCTTCTATGTGCCAAGAATTACATAGTAGTTTTAAATTTACTCATTTTCATTTTCTGCTTGACTTGAGAGTTTTAAATTAAAAAGGTCCTGTTTTTTTTAATTCTCAAATAACTATCATAAATAATGCTTAATTTTACCTCTGATTTTGTTTTTGCATTCTTTCCTCCCTTAATTTTTCTTCTTTAATTTTATCTTGCAGTGTTAATCGTTCTTCCATTTTCTTCACATTTTCATTCTGTTTATTGAATATAGATCTCTCTTGTTGCATCCTTAGTTCTGCAGCTTTCTTCATTCTTTCTTCTCTTAACCTAATAGAAGTATTTAAAGAAAAGGTCAGAATCTCATTTTTAGTTATATTAGATATTTGATGAGCTACTTGAAGACCATTGTTTGGTTAGCCACTTTTCACCTTGAGATTTGAACAGATTGTGAATTGTCTCATTAAATGCCTTGTGTAATTTGAGTACCGTAGTTACATTTAATAACTGACAAGTTTTGTCATCTCATAATTAGCAAACAACCTTTTACGTTCTTGCATCTGTTTATTCAACATTTCTCTCTTTCTCTGAACTCTGTCTTCATTTTTCTTTTCTTTCTCCATTATTTCTCTTTTTTTCTGATCAATCGACTAAAACACATTGTTTTTTTATATTTTAAACTAAATCATATTTGTAAATAAATATATAACATTCACCATTAAACAATCAAATTACTTTTATCTATTTACAACAATATAGCTAACCTATAACTTCTATTTACTAAATTTCTCAAACAGTAAGCAGACTTTTCAGAGGGTTCTTTCCTAACAAAATCTTTATACTTCAGATTAATAAAAGTATAGGTCTTACCAGTGCTTTCACAGGAGTGTTCCGTTTAACAAATGAATTAACAAATCCTGACAATAAATTAGTGGGTCTATTAGCAGATCTACACGCAGAATTGTTGAGTCCTACAGGTCGAACAATCTAAAACAAAGGTTTTTTTTGTCTGTATAAGTTATCCAACAAAAGATAAGCCAGAATTAAATTACATGTATTTTCTTTTATAATTTCTCATACTTATATGCCACCCATAAGACAACTTTAGCCAGGTAAAGACATGCAAAATACACTATTCACGCTGTGTTACAATTTAATGCATCTGGACAACCAGGGAGTTGATCCAACCATATCTGAACCCCAGTATACATCAGAGACTAATTACATTTGTCATAATATCTTGACATAGGGAAGATAAAGAATCTTCCATTGTCTTCCTTATGTCACACAAAAATTCTCTTCCTATTGAAAAGTTCAAGTCTTAAGTTCTATCTAAAATACAATATTAACAACAGGAATATATTAAAGACTTACTTTAGGTCTATGTTTCGGTGATGTATAATCATCACTATCATTCTCCATACTTTCATATCTATAATAATTATAGTAGGTTTTTATAAATTTTGTGGATAAATAAAATAATTATTTTATTACATTTACCACTGCAATAACTTGTGTTTTTTTCCAAATTTTATTTATACTAACAATAATTTGTGATTTATTTAGAAATCAAATATGAAAAGTTATTGTTTATCTTATAATTGGGAGGAAAACCGGATATATTGCCAGACAAAGAAACATTAGCTTACACCAAACAATAGTTTTCCAAGCCATTTGATAAAGAGGATGATTCTGTATGATCTACCAAAAACTATTCCTACCCAAAAGACATTAATGTGATAATTTTAGATTTGCTTGCGCCAAATAAATAAACGCTTTAACGTAAAATACTTACTGATCAGAGTCTAAAGATGCTCTACCTGAAAACAAATAAATATTTAATTTACATTAAAAAAACCCACAATAATACTTACAGGTAACAACATCATAAATTCACAATACTTTTAATCATACTCTGATAATTTACAACACTATAAATCATTTAAAGATACATTATGAGAGATTCGATAATGAGTTGGCAGTTCTCACTATAATACTCAGTTAAAAACTAGATAATCTAAAGGCAATTTGCTGAAAATTTCATTCAAATTGATCCACTATGAACCGAGAACTAAGCGGTTGATATTTTCGGCTAGCCTTGATCATCATTACTAAAGTCAGTACGATAATAGTCTTGATTATCCATTTAATCGTTAAATCGTGAAGGAAAGTTATGCAGTAAATCGGCTCATAATCCACCAAAGATCGCAGGCTAGTGATGCCATCTAGAGTTGATTATGGTTAATTAATGTCTAATTAATAATTTAGATAACATTACAGGCCTAAAGAAAGACCTGCAATAGACAGATTTAGCTCTTGCATAATGTATGTTTAAGTTTTCCCATTATCGTAAGAATAAAAATCTCACCTGGCGTTTTAGGGCCATCATGCAATTCATTTTCGGGCTGAAAAAAGAAAAAAAAAGCTTTAAGGGTAGAAATCAAGCTCTTTGTAGATCTTACTATAACTACTTAAAGGGTCCTCTGAAGATGACCACTATTTACAAGATGAAGGAAACCACAGAATCAATAGTTTTGTTTAATGGCAACTTGTAACCTTTTTGTTATAAATACATGCAGCTTCTGATATGTATATGTACATAATGATATAGTTACATATGTATGTACTATTATATATTTTTCATGTTAATTAAATCTCATGTTATTATTAACTTCATTTATTTTGTGGCTTGTGAAAAGAGACTACATTTTCCTAAGCAACAATTTGCAATTGGGTGCTGGCAAACTAACAGTCATAAAGATAGGTTGCCAGGCAACGTAAATACGTCCGCAGCAGCTAAATTGTCCGCGCGGTCGACAAGGGTTGCCGCATATTTATTTTTTTGTCGGTAATTGGGGGCATTTACAAGACAATTTCATACAGATCAGATTATAATTTTTGTCGTTTGTGGGTTCACAAGGTTCTACAAACTAAAACAAGGGCCTTTACTCTGGAAGTAATTTACTGAAAATTTTGAAATATGATAGGTTTTTTTGTTTGACTAATTTAAATAATGCATATAAATTTCATACAGATCAGAAAATAACTTTTGTCATTCGACGGTTCACAAGGTTCACAGAGTAAAACAATGGCCATAACTCTAGAAATAATTAACAGAAATTGCTGAAATTCAATAAATCCCCGTTTCACAAATTTAAATGATGCATATAAATTGCATATATATCGGATGATAACTTTCATAACTCTAGAAGTAATTATTGTAGATTGATGAAATTCAATAGGCTTTGTGGTTTCACTAATCTAATTGGTGCATATAAATTTCATAAAGACCAGATGATAACTTTTGGCGTTCGAGTGTTCACAAGGTTGAACAAAGTGAAACAAGGGCCATTAATCTCGACATAATAAACGGAAATTGCTAAAATTCAATAGGTTTCTTCGTTTCACTAATTTAAAGTTGCAATTGCAAATTTTCAAGTTATATTTTTAAAATGTATTAAAATAAAGCCTTAAAATAGATGGTATCCATTAACAGTCCTACCTTGTTAAAGAATAATCCTATTAATCCTATAATTCGCTATTGCCAGCTGAGAAATTAGCAAAAATATCATTTTTAACTTTCAAGTTATATTTTTAAAATGTATTAAAATAAAGCCTTAAAATAGATGGTATCCATTAACAGTCCTACCTTGTTAAAGAATAATCCTATTAATCCTATAATTCGCTATTGCCAGCTAAGAAATTGGCAAAAATATCATTTTTAACTTCAAATTCCAGCGTTGGAAAATGGCTGCCCCATGTTGTCAATAACAAAACAGGGGAGGTAATTGTGTTGTTATTTTCTGTGTCATAGATTTTTAAGGGCGGGAAATAATGCCCATGATCGTATAATAGTGATTTGATAACCTATTGAGCAAAAGACATAGAAATAATTATGTTTTGACTTTCTTAGAAAATTTGAAATTCTCGCTTTAAAGTAGCTAAGTCTCTAACTCAATATCATCCAAAATCTTCAACATTGAAAACACGATTTATTTGTCAAATTAAATCAACATTCATGTTGTGATCTTACCGGAAAAAGATGGGCTTTTGATATCCAATTTTTAAGACAAAATAAACATTTTACCATTTGTACACGAATCGTGTACCATAATTCGCTTCAGCCCCAGTTGTATCAAGAGACTCGAGGGACGAGGCCAGACACATTGCACCAAATCAAACGGCGTATGTAGACTGGAATAACCAGACGCTAGAAATTTGCACTCAATTGAGACTGCTGGCTTAGTTCGCCGAACATAACTGATTTGAAATTGGAGTAAAAACGGAAACCATTGAATGTTAATCCGTTTATATACATTCATATTACAGTATTATATGCGTTGCGACCCACTTTGGCAATTTCTAGGTCCCAAATGTTAGCGATTTAGCTCCTTTAAATAATGCATATAAATTTCACAAAGATCGGATGATAACTTTTGGCATTAGAGCGTTCACAAGGTTCAACAAAGTGAAACAAGGGCCCTAACTCTAAGACGTAATAAACAGTCCTTAGCATGGCAAGGTTTATGTGGAACTTAAACAAAACACAGTATTAATAATAAAGAGTTAGGACTGTAACAGTCGAGTGTATATCTAGTGATGGGTGTATAATTTTCATCCTTCCAATAAAGATGGTTGGACGTTTAATATTCAATGTTAAAATACCTCTTCATGAGTATTGGCATCTTGTTGTATACCAGTACATGATCTTTTACTTTTAGGTGCAGAACTCACTTCTTCACAATCATCAACTTGACGTTTTCTGCAATGTAATATTATTAAATTAAGATTTTACTTCAGGATATCTGTATGGGATTAGGGAACAGGCTTAGCCTACATGTATGTAAAACTCTGGTCCATACAGATTTAAAATTCACTTAAACTATGATTGCCGTACTGCCAGTACTGGCTCCACATTCAGCTACGCAGTTCAGTCTACCATCCACCAGCTCATTGAAGGCTCGGGATTATCGAGAATACATTATACAAAACATAATAGACGGCTCAAAAAAAAAAAAATTCACAATCAATATTGTAACCTAATATTTTAATATTCTTATTTAAAAGTAAAAAATATTACTAATATTAATTTTTTGCAGACCGTGCAATCTCCAGGGATATAAAGCTAGGCTATATGTATATAAGACGAATGTATTTAAACTCCACTGTAGCAATCTTTTATTGAGATAGTCTTAATTTTTTACTGTGCTGATGTATGTCAAAAAAAAAAATGACCCATAATAATTGATGTAAAATAATCAGTTCATAAATGTTGGACAAACTTGAGTAATATTTCATGTTTTGTTCTAGGGTCATTTGAACCTGTTTTTTATTTCAATATATTCAATAAATATTAGACAATAAAAAAGATGTTTGTGATCGCACATGGTAATAATATTCCGATGAATGTTGTTCCTAAAATTAGAGTAAATTTTTTATCTTCATCCATATCTAAGTCCATGTGGAGTATACATGTATGACGAAGGCCAGACTTCCATGGAAAAGAGTATCTACTTAAATCCCGAACGATATGGTACTTTATAGTGAGTCAGTGGGATTTGCGGTGGCTCAGGGAGTAAGGAGCAGACTTGCTAACCCGGAAGTCTCGAGTTTGCTCCTCAGGATTTTTCAGCGTGGTTTTACCTTTGTAGTCGTGGAGGATGGAGGGACTGGCAAGGAACAGTGTTTAGTAGTTTGGATGAAATGAAAAACTGGGGTACTGTACATGAGTATGGCTTCCACCTAAAAGATTCCCTTGCAACTGTTAATTCAAAATAAGAGTAGGCCATAGTTCCGCTATTCAGGCAAAATATACCTCATAGCACGGTGTCTTCATTAGCCCAGTCAGTACAGAAAAGTACATATAATATGTTAAACTCCATTTCATTTATTGAGTCATGTCAATGTAAATGATTATATTTATACCTGTTGTTTTTCGGTTCAGATACTTCTGGTGTATGGAACACTTCGTCTGTATTACTTCCCTCTAGGATTGGAGATTGCTGATATTGTTTAGATTGGGATCTAGTGGAACGTGTTGGCTTCAAACTGTCATGGTTAATAGTCTTTTCATTGTCCATCTCTAAATTTTTCAAGCTAACAGCACTAGATTGAGCACTTAAAACTCCAGAAATACCTGAATCTCTATCACGATGAGATGAGTCTTTACGACCTCTGCTGCCACGTCTAGTTTTAAGTCCTGTATCACAATCATCTGACGACCCAGTATCCATTACGACCTCACTCTCCGATGAACACGCTTTATCCATAGAGTTTTTCTTGCTTACAGGTTTCATAATCTCATCACATGACTCATTTTCTGATTTAAGAGGAGTTCTACATGTGGATTTAGATGTTCGAGGCCGAGGTACAGGTGTGCCATCTTTCTTAACAGGTGATTGATATGTTGTAACAGTATCTTTCGATTCATTTTTATTTTCATCAGCATCATTTTTAGTACTGTCTTTATCAATAGACGTACATGTACTTTCTGATTCATCAGTACTCATCTAAAAGTATAGCATTTATAGATAAGGGTGCATATATGATTTAAATAAACTTAATTTACTGACAAGGAAAGATATAACTAATGCCTAAAGTGGGAACCCGGTTTGCATATGAAATCTCTAACATGATGATTTGACCTTCACTGATAAGATAAACATGTGTACAATGTATCTCGCATGTAGCAGTGAAAAAAAACCCCAAACTTGAAAACAATCACGAAATCTCTATAAATCATTACGGCAGCAATATCATCAAATGCTGTCTTTGCTTTCAGATATATCTTAAGGACCTTAACATATCGCACACTGTTATCCTCCACTGACCACTTATGACTCTACATGTATATTTAGAAAGTATGTTTGAATTGAATAACCACTATACCTCAATTTGTTCCTTCTTTTTAAGACGTAATCGCGTTCTAGGTTTACGTTTTGGTTCTTCAATAACCTAAAAGGGAGTTTTTAATAATAGTTATATATTTAATAATGGAAGAAGCTACAATGTATTAGACACCTGAAAATTTCTAATTGTTTGTGGATTAAATATTCTGTTTTCTGGGGCATTGTTTCCTCCAAATAATTGGGTGTCATTAGGGCTAGCAGAAAATATCGATACTGCTGATAACCATCGGTAAAGTGTTTCGAAGATCGATACAGATTTAAAACATTGATAATTGCGCAATTATTGGCATTCCATAAAAAATAATCCTTATCAAAGTATTCTTTGCAATGCCTGCTTGGGCCTACAATATAGCTCGGTAGCTGTACATGTAATTTAACAGAAAAGTCATTCAAGCTATCAACACACCTGCTTCATTTTCACGTGGGATGCCAGTGACACGGCACAGAGTAAAAATACCAGCGCTAAGAGATGTCGACCGCTTATGATGAGAGCAAATAAACTGTTGTTACTATGAAATGTTTACATGTAGACTCCATTTCAAAGGGAAACAAGCCAACAGTGAGGCTGATGTCCCCCGCCGAAATAGGAAAATAATTAGAGGACACATATAAATTTATCACAAATTATCTTTTACAAAGTATTGAACAATCAAACAGTATATCTTTACTTATAGTCTAACAATCAAAGTAGGAGAGTTATTGTTTTCCAAAGTCTCGACCAATCAAATTGCGTATCGCTCTGCTTACCCTGAGCAGAAAATGCTCATTATCAAACTTAGTCAAGGTATTACTGTAATGAAACTATACACCAAGTTTCATCAAACTCACTTAATTAGAACTAAAGTTATCGTGTCCCAAAGCATCAACCAATCAAATTGCTTATCTCTGCTTACCCTAAGCGGAAAATGCTCATCTTCGAACTCCATCAAGGCATTGACCTAATCAACACATACACCAAGTTTGAACATTCTAGCTCAATTAGGAAGAGAGTTATCGTGCCCCAAAGTATCAACCAATCAAATTGCTGCTTACCCTGAGCAGAAAATGCTCATTATCAAACTTAGTCAAGGTATTACTGTAATGAAACTATACTATACACCAAGTTTCATCAATCTCACTTAATTAGAACTAAAGTTATCGTGTCCCAAAGCATCAACCAATCAAATTGCTTATCTCTGCTTACCCTAAGCGGAAAATGCTCATCTTCGAACTCCATCAAGGCATTGACCTAATCAACACATACACCAAGTTTGAACATTCTAGCTCAATTAGGAAGAGAGTTATCGTGCCCCAAAGTATCAACCAATCAAATTGCTTATCTCTGCTTACCCTAAGCGGAAAATGCTCATCTTCGAACTCCATCAAGGCATTGACCTAATAAACACATACACCAAGTTTGAACATTCTAGCTCAATTAAAAGTTATCGTGTCCCAAAGCATCAACCAATCAAATTGCTTATCTCTGCTTACCCTAAGCGGAAAATGCTCATCTTCGAACTCCATCAAGGCATTGACCTAATCAACACATACACCAAGTTTGAACATTCTAGCCCAATTAGGAAGAGAGTTATCGTGTCCCAAAGCATCAACCAATCAAATTGCTTATCTCTGCTTACCCTAAGCGGAAAATGCTCATCTTCGAACTCCATCAAGGCATTGACCTAATAAACACATACACCAAGTTTGAACATTCTAGCTCAATTAGGAAGAGAGTTATTGTGTCCCAAAAAGTGTGACGGACAGACAGACGGACAGACAGACGGACGGACAGACAGACGGACAGACAGACGGACGAACCCATTTTAATAGTCCCCTGCTTTCTTCGAAAGGCGGGGGACAATAACTACATTTTTTTCTGGTCATAAGCGACAAAAAGTCAACACCTTGGTTTTGGTATGGAATGCTATTATTCTATTGTCAAATCAATGAATTAAATTCTGCATGTAAAAGCTTACATAATGATATTACAGCATAAACTCACATGTAAATCGTAATTCATATACAAATTATGAATGTCTTCCAAACATATTTCAAGTCAAAATAATTCGCCGATATTATCAATTGTTGATCGGCAGATGGTCGGTGATTATCGATACTTAAAAGCAGTATCGATTACCAGCCCTAGGTGTCATGAGGGAAGTAGGCTACTGTGCTCCTCTGTGCGAGATGTCTTGTGGTGGGTTTACATGTACATACATGTACATGTATATAGTTATCAATAGATGCAGTTATAACATTTTCAACTGAGTAAGCCATGCACTGTTTGTTATATGTTTTAATGAGCAGTTGTGCTGCATTTTATTTTTTGATAATTGAAAAAATACAATTCATCTCACCTCAGTGACTTCTTCTGAATATTCAGCTTCTACCAGTCGAGTACCAGTATTATGATGACCATGAACAGATAAACGTTTAACTTTTGATGACAATACTTTTAGTGATTTTCTTGATGATCGTCTTTTCTGTGCTGTTTTCTCCTTTATGATGGATTCGTTCAAGTTTTCTACATTTGCTTTATCAAGACAAGATACTGTTTTAGAGTGTTTAACAGTATCTGGCGTATTATATTCGGGTGTATTATCCACTGATATACAATGTTTATTTTTATTTACAGGTGTGACAGCTGGACTGTGACTGGATCGTTTACCAAGCATCTCTTCATAAGCTGAAGCTCTTTGCTTAACAGAATATTTTTCCTTATTATAAGGAGAATTTTTTGATTGGTTTGCAACACCAATGGCTGTTTTGTTTAGCGTACTTCTGCTGGTTGATTTGGCAACTGGTGTCATTTCAGCATCTGATAATTCTAATTCAGAGCAATCACTCATTTTAGATAAGTTTGTAGATGTTAACTTAGGAGATATTTTCTGACGGGGATTCTCACTCGATCCAGAATTCTGTTTCTTTCCACGTGTTTTCCTTGCAGGTTCTTTGGTCTTGTTCTCTTTATTATATAGTACTTTTTGTCGAGCTGTCTGTCTTGTTTTACGACTAGGTGGCGTACCTTCTTCATCATCAGCATCACTTTCTGTTTCTATTTCTCTGAAAAAATAGTATAGATAAAAGTAAGCTTATTATACTAAAATTAATATCATTTCTACAAATTGACCATCCTATTTTTAAGCACTATATCCGTTGATCAGCAATTCTCGCAGACAGTGTGGACACAGTTGATGCCCATTTCTAGTCTAAACTTTCAAATATCATTCCGAATAATAATAATAATCTATACTAATATTTGTGACTGCCGTTTGTCTGTCTGTTCGGGGTTGGCGGCTACACTAGGTCTGCCCAGAGTCTGAAATTAGGGGTATAGGGGTAGCTCGGACCGGGGAGTAACATAGGCCAGGTAGCGTTAGTCTACCACTTCCGGTTTTCGGAGTTATGACCCCCGAGCGAAGCGGGGTTGGCGGCTACACTAGGTCTGCCCCGTGTCTGATTGCGCTCACTCCATCCATATTGCATGCTCTAAGCGCATGGAAGATAATAGCTAATCCTGATAATATGTAACAAACATTTTTGAGTTTTGAGTTTTGATTTGAACACAGCTAATGTTTAAGAACTCGTATCTCCAATGTTAAGTTGTTTAAATCTAGTTAAAATTTTGAATATCCGATGCCATCGAGAGTCGATTATGGTCTTGTTTTGTTAATAAAAGTCTAATTAATAGTTTATATAACATTTCAGGCCTAAAGAATAAACCAGCGATGCTAGTTTTAGTTTTAAATAGGGTTTACCATTATGATTTTTTTATTAATTTTATACACATGCTGACAGAGGCTTAATTTTAAAAATATTGTCATTATTATTGAAAAACATTGCTATAGTTGTACAGAATTTTTAATGTAAAGCAATTTCAATTATGGTTGTCACGTGATCACTGTGCGGTATGTCTATCATTGACGAATTCAGGTGATTTACAAATACTACAAATTGTGTTATAAAGAAATACCATGGTGCTGCATCAGCTTATATTCATAGAAAAAACGAAGACAGTAATTTATTCAGAAATATTATTGACATGAATTTTAAGTCGACGCATTCACTTTATATGTACTTCCTTTCCTCTGATCTTTCTGCGCTTCCCTTGGAAACTATAATTATTATTATTGGTTGGGCCTGCATGTCACCTGAAGGACCCACATGATCATGTGTCACACAAGTCCTGTGGGCCTGTGCTTGGAAAATGTATGTTTCGGACACCGACCAATGTTGTGGAAAAACTACATTGGATGAAATGTCTCCACTAACACAAGGATCAAACTCCACCTTAACTGCATCTTTTGTAGTACTATTCGATCTTCAGCTTCACGTTGCCTACACTTCTGTGATGAAAATTATAACTACAGTTCAGGTTTTATTTCTTTCCGGTTTTTTTTATATAAAAAACTTCTAGCATTAGTCGGAAATCGTCTTCACTTTCAAATCAGTAAATGGCCAATATGTAAGGCAATGTGAGATTTGCCAAATGCTACCCCCCCCCACTCTATTTTATACTATAGTGCCAACACCATAACTGGTTTGCGTCATAGACTGACCACGGTTCCAGTTTACAAATATGGAATAGGCATACCCCCTGGGAGAGATTTATACTAAATTTGGTCAACAGACACATTCCATTCCTGACCATGAAGATTACATATAAATGACGTGTTTATTAACCTATAGTTCAATTCATGTCGATTTCTATTATTTCAGGTGTTATTTTGCTTGACCAAGAATCTATAAACACTATTAGTCAAGGACATTATATTATTACACTTTCCAAAATACCAAACCTAGTGGTACTTAAACTTACTTTTTCTTTTTAACGATTCTTCTTCGTGGCTTCTTAGATGATGGAGTCTTTGGCAATAACTCAACTTCGGGTCTAGAAGTATATTAACCCACATTTATATATAATATTATTAATAAGCTTATATCCATAAGAAGTTATACATTAATTAATATTATTACCTTTTATCATGCATGTTTTTCACTTCATTTCTAAATTTTCCCCCAAAATTCAGTCATTTCATTATTATGGGTGTGAATGGAGGTGTGGTACATGTTTAATAAATTTAAGAGAAATCTAGACCACGTCAATCAATATCTGAATACAGGGTAAATGTAATTCAGTCTGGGAGTTATGATAAAATGTAACAAGTACTTACGTAACTAATGCTTTTTTGCATGCTTCTAAAATCTCATCCAGCCACAAAAAATCTTCTTCATAGTCCAGCATCAAATTGGCAAGGTCTCCTTCTACTGCTTCCAGGTGAGACACACCTAAAGTGTGCGGTACCCTTGAATACAGTGTCGCCATCTTCACTGGTTGACAATACCTACAATATCAAATTCTGTAAACAATCTGAAAAAAAAAACAAATCAAAAAAAATCTATCTTTAACTAGTTCAGCGCAGCACTCGCCCTCTACATTTCAAAGATTAGAATTACTGTATTTCTCCTAGTTACCTAATTTTCATCTTCTCTTGCCGACGTACTTAAATTTGTGCGCTGACCTGCTTATTTAGACGAATATTAGTCTGGATGTGTTGTCAATATTTGAAAAAAATAGATCATTGGTTAGATTATCCGGTCTTTTACATTATCATAAGGGAGGCAACTAGTACCAAAACAATTAATTCAAGAATGTCATTTCAAATAATCCATTTGATTGCATGCCAGTTCAATATCCAGCACTCTTATTTTTTTATTGTAAAATTTCTCACTTCATGGATGGACCATATCTGTTTTTTAAAATCAATCCTAATTCGTCGTCACGATTCATATTTGTTTATATTATTATCAATGCAAGAATTATGGGATTTATTGCGTGAAGGGGCACAACTCTTACTTGACTTGGCCAGAAGATACTGGATAATCAACCACATTTAAAACCAAACTCCCGGTTACGCATGGGCAATGGACTTTTTGTCAAATATTGACAAAGGTCCCAGACCTCCGTACGTTGAAGACTAGGAGGTTCTGGGTGACCGAGACTATCCCGGCACAGATTTCAAGCGCCAATTAAAAATATAAGCCATCAAATACACAAGATAGACTTTAATGTATGTTATATAGTAGGATAATTCAAGTTTCATTATCAAACTTTTTCAGAATTTTAATCTCTGTCCCACATGACCAAAACTGAAGGTGAAAATGGGTATATATTTTGCATGTTTTCACTATTCTCAGTGTGCAATGAATTTCGAGACTGGATATTTGGAAGAGTATACATCCCATCGACTCAGAATCTTTTGTAAATTGATAAATGACAAACTGACATTAACTATATGCCAATTTTGGAGGTTGTGTATACAATATTAGCGACTTTGCCAGAGGCTGTGGAAATCCTGAAAAAAAAGTGAATGGTTCATTTGTTCCCCATTTTGCCACCTGGTGGCACGATACTGTGTGAATCGCACATTGCGTGGGATGCTAAATTCGTAATCTACACCAAAAGTTGTCTTAGATTACAAAGTTAGAGTTCTACCCCTATTAGAAATGTGAGTTTAAATTAAAGCACCCGAAAACCTGAAAAAAATTACTGAGTCTATCTTATCTATATGATCCGTTTCTGTACCCTATTTTCAAATGGAAATATCTCGGCGAGTTTTCGACCTAGAGAGGTGACAAATCCTGAATAATCATGTGACACTCCAATGCAATTGTCAATATAAAAGTTTGTTAACGATAATCCGTGAGCTGCACGTTGACATGCTTGTCATAGATGGCAATACCAATCGATAAATTAGTGCGTACACGGCAAAGTTTTTTTGTGGAAAATATAAGAAATGGCAACGATCAAAGCGGGATAATTAAAGCTGATTAACTGATAATCCCGATGTTATTGCAGTATGTTCAAAGAAACCTAACGGTTCTTTGGTGGATGAGGAAAACGTGAGTTGTCAATCATCGAGAATGGCGGCCGTGTGTTGATTGTAGTTATATTGTTTCACGAAAAAACATTAGCAGTGGTCAGTCAATCAAGCTTGTTTACTATTTGATAAAAGAAAAACAACGAAGTATTACTAAATATACACAAATTTTCAACAATATATTATTGTCAAGTTTTATACTCGCAGATAAAACAAAACAAAGGAGAAGTTTTATACTCGCAGATAAAACAAAACAAAGGAGAACTAGCAGTGTTAATCGCGGTCTCAACAATCGCCGATCAACTAAATAAAACGAGACAACTAAGTCGATAGTTCAGCTCTGAACGTAAGTCCTCGTTACACTCGACCTCTACGTTCAGGGACCCTTCTATTGAATCCTTGTCGACCAGATTTGGTTTCCCAGTCAATTTTACTGGGCAACTTTTTACTGCTAACCGGTCGCGTGTCAGTGACTGCCTTGTAAACGCCTGTACAATATAAATCTTGGCGGACATCATTGAAAGGGTAACGCACAAATTTAAGAACTGGGCCATATAAGATGAAACGAAATTTAGGTAAGCCTGGGAGAAAAAAAATGAAATCTTTGAAAAGTTGAGAATCTTCAGTGATTTATTGCTTTGCCTAGCTAAATTACAATAATTTACAATCAAATTCTTTCAAAAATCCCAATTTTTTCGCACAAGGCTTACCTAAATTTCGTTTCATCTTATAAGCTTATGGCCGAGTTCTTAAATTTGTGCGTTACCCTTTCAATGATGTCCGCCAAGTCGGTTAGAAGACGGAGACATATTTTTTAACAGCGTGTTGTGTCGCTCATACTGACTCTAGCGAGGTAGGCAAGGTCTTATTTTCTCACTAAGATGTTCATTTATATTGTTCAGACGTTCACAGGGACTGACACGCGACCGGTTAGCAGTAAAAAGTTGCCCAGTAAAATTGACTGGGAAACCAAATCTGGTCGACAAGGATTCAATAGAAGGGTCCCTGAACGTATAGGTCGAGTGTAATGAGACCTACGTTCAGAGCTGAACTACTAAGTCGACTAAGACAGCTGTTACTATATTATATATAATATCTCATAAATAAATAGTCCCAACTGTCGTTTATATTGAGTCCCAAATGTCGTTTGTGTTGAGTCCCAATTGACGTCAATCAAGTCCCAAACGTCGTCAACGGAGTCCCAAATGTCGTTTATGTTGAGTCCCAAATGACTAGAAATGGTTCCACTATTGATGTCTTCCGCCTTACTCCAGCCACAGTAGTGGCTCATCCTACGAGAGTTCCTTTGCGCAAGTTTTTTAGTGAAATCACTACAAAAAGGTTACTGGCCTATACCTCCCTTAATTTACACATAAACTGACCCAAAACAGTACTGCACCTAGCTTAACATATAATAAATCAATTCCTATTGAAATAAAGGTGAAGCCTTACCGCATAATTATATGATTTGATGAAACTCAACGGCTACGCGAAATTTCAACTGGCGTGTCATGGCTGCCATGGCGGCTTGTTGTGTGTAATACGTTATTACAAGAAACGTCGCTATGCAAATGTAGAACGCATAACCACAAAGAAAAACTGTTCGGTAACTGTTTAGTGGCCCAGTCTTCACTATTTGTCATAGAATTACGTATTCCAATACAAACTGTAATGATATGTGTTGACAATTGTGCGTTTGAACCTATTTGAACTTGCGTAAGGATTCTTAGACTGTATCAATTGTAACGTTAAACACACAGTTTAACGTTACAAGTATAGTAACTACCAAATGACGCGAGTCCCAAATTTTGATTTATTTTGTGACAATTCAGAATCAGTGATTGCCATTGTCAATACTGTTTTACTCTTCTTTACGTTACGTAACGACTTAGTAACTGGGATCTATTGATGAATAAAGATATCGGCTACCTAACTGAACTGACTATGCTATAATTTTCAAAACGAAGGCCGGTTTGGCTTTGTTTATTTCATACTCACGCTGTATATAATCAACCTTCCGCCATTGATCATTCAAACTTCGTACGCCTTGGTTAAATCAACCAATGGAAGTGCGTCATTTTCGTTTCGTCATTTAAGCAGAGCGGGAATGGCTGAAGTAACCGTATTGTAGTATTTCATGTATTGGGTTCCGACCCACTGTTTTGCCTATTAAATTAAAAATTATACTTAATTATTTTTTATGGCAAGATTTCTATTATAAAATTCGCCTTACAATTACATTTTATGAATAGGCGAACCAAACTCCACTGTTTCGCATGTCTGCCATTATTTACGCCATATTTGTCATGAAAACTTACGGAATGAGTGTACGATAGTGGTTTTGGGTGGGAATACGATGTCCCGTAATGATGCTTCTGGCTTTAGCCAGAGCTACAAACTGGTTGTAGTTGGTGGTGGAGGTGTTGGCAAAAGTGCCTTAACGATACAATTTATTCAGGTAATTTACAATAACCGGTAGCCACGAATCTATAATAAAATCTCCCTTTTTTTTCTATTTTTGTTTTTAGGCGAGTAGATCTAATTACTGTCTGATTCATCGTAAATTTTAAACGGATTTCTTCGATTATGAACAAACTACTTAACGTTGGTTATTATAAACTTACCTGTGTGTTTGTAATGAACTCCCGTTCGATAAAATCCATTGCACAACTAATTATCACAACGATGAAAACAAGTTCTCTCTTGAAAAATTGAAATATCACAAACTTTTCCCAGAGAAAAATACCAATATGGAAGATGGTTATGTCACTCTGCGGAAGATATCATTTCGTATTAGGGGTGACAGCATAGGAAATTCAAGTACAATTACGACAAGAATCCATGACCACTCGGACCAAAGATCACTCGGTTCAAGACCAGTCGGACCAAGTGATAGACCACTCAGCCCAAACAAATAGACTACTCGGACCATACAAAAAGACTATTCGGACCCAACAGAAAGACGACTCGGACCAATAATAAAATGTTGTTTTAATAAATTGATAATTGCGTTTGTTTTAATATAATTACTCGAACCAATAATAAAGTGTTATTTTAATAAATTGATAATTGTGTTTATTTTAATATGACTACTCGAACCAATAATAAAGTTTTTTTGAGTAAATTGATAATTGTGTGTGTTTTAATATGACTACTCGAACTAATAATAACCTGTTGTTTGAATAAATTGATAATTGTATTCCAAATCGCAAAATATCGAGAACCACACTTGTAGTCACGTTTAAAAAGGGGCATATAAACGTCCGGTCTTCGTATTATTATGTGCTGTTTATATTAACGCATCAAGGGCGGATAACTTGAAAACGTGTCTCCACCCCCCCCACCCCCATATATAGTAACCCACGGGTTAGTGGGGTAGAACGGAATGAAACCACTGGGGATACCGCGAATGTGGAAAAAGTAAAATTAGGCTATCAGACAAGAACAGTATACCCGTATATGTAGAAACTGTCAAAAGTCTGGACATACCGAGTCTCATTGCAAGAGTAAAGAAAAATTAGATTGATATTTTTTTTTGGCACCATTATTAATTAATTTTAAAACTAATCGTTGATTTATTTACGTACACAAAATTGAACCAAACAACTCTAAATATAAGAATTCCGTATAAGAATTATTTGCTTCTTTGTATTGTGATTTAATAATAAATAAATAGCATATTGTCTAGCCTTATAATATAATTTAATTGGTCCGACTGGTCTTGTTTTGGTCCGACTGGTCTTAGTCCGAGTAGTCTTTGGTCCGAGTGGTCTGGATACCTACGACAATTGGCATTGAGTTTGAGCGTTCGCACACATAACTACCCGCATTCCTGTATTTAGTTACCGTCTTTTACATTCTAGTAAAATCTCTGCAAATTTTATAGCTTTACTTTTTGAAATATTTTGTTCTAATTATTTGATTAGCGACTCGGATGGGATTATTTACTTTTGAACACGCATGCCGCACAAACACAACTATACATTCGTTTTACGGGCTTTATCACACTTCGGTCAAAACTGTCGAATCGAGAATTAATGTTCCGCTTCTTACGGGGTCATACGGGCTTAGTAGCATTATATACCCACCCGGGCACCCAATACGGCAATAGACACGCTGAGGGCTGCCGCAACACGCTTAAAGATGTTACTGAAGCGGTTATTATTCGATCGAAAGAATGCGTATAAAATTAAAAATACACTCAGAGAATTCGGAGGTAAGCTTCATGATCCTTGTTAAATTATTTATAACATAAAGAAGATAGGATATTTATAGTTTATTCATGACTTTATTTTTACGAGTATCCGTGCAATCAGTGATATTTTAATTGTGAAGAAAATTTGATAGACTGGCGATCAATGATTTCCATATAAATCTCCTATGTAATTGCCTTCAATTGATATTTTTCGTCGCCCAAACCCATATACGATCAAAATGATCGCGCTGTCAAACTATCTTTCAATGTTAACCAACCCCCGCAACAGGTATATTGGATTCGACCAATACGTCACGAAGACATTGTTGACATCGACTCTGTCGAAATTACAAGTAAATTTTCAAATTTTTCAAGAGAGAAATTGTTCTCATCGTTGTGATAATTAGTTGTGCAATGGATTTTATCGAACGGGAGTTCATTACAAACACACAGGTAAGTTTATAATAACCAAAGTTAAGTAGTTTGTTCATAATCGAAGAAATCCGTTTAAAATTTACGATGAATCAGACAGTAGGCATAGTAGTAGAGTTCTAATATGATGTAATTTAAGAAGACAAAAAGAAAAGAAAACAGCTTAGCCCATGGGTTGTGGCTTTGGAGGGGCGGCCTTAGGCTACAGACTCTTTATTATTTATACAATATTTTTTTTTATTTTTAGGCATTTTGTCTACTAAATCATGTAAAAATATGGTAAATGCTATAAATAATAGTATAGCTATAACCGTAGTTCAGCTCTGAGCGTAGGTCCCATTAACTCCCCCTGTACGTTCAGGAACATTCGGTCAATTTTACTTAGCTACAATTATGTATCATTAAACTGTGTTTAACGCTACAATTAATACTGTCTAAGACTCCTTACGCAAGTTTAAATAGGTTCAAACGCACAATTGTCAACACATATCATTACAGTTTGTATTGAAATAACCGGTTTCCTCCCACTATAAAGACCCCTACGCACAAGCGAATTATTGAAATAAAATTAAACCATATGTTAGTCCCAAAATGACCTAGTTTGTGTCGAGTGGACGTTAAACCCCATTTCTCTCTCTCTCTCTCTGTATTGAAATAAGTAATTCTATCACAACTAGTGAAGACTTGACCACTAAAATAGTTATCGAACAGTTTTTCTCTGTGGTAGTAATGCGTTCTACATTTCCAAAGCGATGTTTCTTATAATGTGAAAGCCGCCATGACACCGGCCAGTTGAAATAAGTTCGGTAGTCGAGAAATTTCGCATAGCAGTTGGGTTTCATATTATATAATTATGCGGTAAGACTTCACCTTTATTTCAATAGGAATTGGTTTATTATATGTTAAGCTATGCACTGTACAGTTTTGGGCCAGTTTATGTGTAAATTAACGGAGCTATAGGCCAGTAACCTTTTTGTAGTCAATTGACTAAAAAACTTGCGCAAAGGAACTCCGTAGGATGAGCACTACTATGGCTGGAGTAAGGCGGAAGACATCAGTAGTGGAACCATTTCTAAATTTCACTGGTCAACTTTTTACTGCTAAACGGTCGCGCGTCATTTTCTGTGAAAGCCTGTACAGTGTACTGTAATGGAACATTTTAGTGAGAAAATAAGACCTTGCTTACCTCGCTAAAGTCAGTAGTAGGCCTATGTGCGACACAACATGCTGTTAAAAATACGACCCTTAGCAGAAGGGGAGGTATTTTTAACAGCATGTTATGTCGCACATTATGACTCTAGCGAGGTAATTATAAGCAAGGCCTTATTTTCTCACTTAAATGTTACTTTACACTGTACAGACGTTCACATTCACAGCGAATGACACGCTACCGTTTAGCAGTAAAACGTTGCCCAGTAAAATTGACTTGGGGTCGAAACTTTTTTGACGTGGATTCAATAGTGCGGTTCCTGAATGTACAGTGCGAGTGTAATGAGACCTACATTCAGAGCTGAACTAGTATAGCCGTAGATAGTATTAGGCTGCTTCCTTATTCATACAATGTAGATGTCTAAATTCTAAAGATAGGCTTATAATGTTTTATAATACTGCAATGCCTGTCATGATGATCATCTGATGACTGTTAGTGTTGGTTTAGATTCCTAAAATTCCATCTTGGTAAAATGTAACAATATACATACCGGTAACATATATAACTACCTACATGTACTAATACTACATGTATGACCTAGTAAATGTAACTAAAACATTGAGATGAATCTGACATGATTGCTTATATATATTAATCCAAAATAACTTAAACATACATTATGCAAGAGCTAAATCTGATTATTGCAAGTCTTTATTTAGGCTTCAGATGTCATAGAAATTATAAATTAGATCTTTATTTACACAACAAGCAAAAAATCAACTCTGTAGACCCACGGATGGCTTGGATTCAGCTTGGATTTAATTGGGATTTTGTTGACTGATTTAATTTTAAATGGCGTCGTGAGCGGAGATTAACCGTTACGTTGACGTCATACTCCCGGACCGAGGCTAAATGATAGAGTGTACGAAGCGAGGCCGCTGTTGAGTGATGCCTTAACAAATGACATCTAAACTGTTTAAATTGCGATAAACTAAACACAAATAATGACAAATTATACAATTCCTGGAGACCATGTGATGACTAATACAGACGGACAGGTCTTCTGTCTTAATAATATCAATAAAAACATTTTTATTTCTCCAATAGGCACGACGCCACTGGTGTATACCTATAGATTTATCATAATTGTATTATAATATTATGTCCTATGTTCAATTGATTTAATGCGTGCCCAAAATACATGTAAGAATGAAAATTTACCGTCTCACTCATTTTTAAGTTGTTATAAAAATCCAAAAAGGTAAAACACAAATTCGGATATTATGACAGCAGACAAAAGACAGCAGAGATTATGTAGGTGGAGTTAACGCCAGTCAATCAAACGATCGGCCATACTAAGAATCTGTGAAGATGGAATTCAGTCCCATTTCTAGTCTAAAATTACACTGGTGATAACTATGTTCAGAATAAAGTAATTTGACTGACATTTTCAATATATTCTTCTTTCATCATCTATTTTTGAGCTGTTATAGCAAGAATGGCTAACTCCTTATAAAAATCTCCCATAATGTATCATTAATATATCTAATTAAACATACCCACCCTAGTGTAGCTGAAAAGCTACTGTACAAATACAGTTTTGTTGTTAAGTTCAGTCAAGTGACATTTTTCTCTGGGGTAGGTGAATGGTCATTTCTTCGGGAAGTCTTAAGTCATGTATATTGATTGACGTTTAGGTAATAGTGCCAAGTAACAGCTTTATTACAAACAGGATTTGGCAAATTAATCATTGAATTAATTTCCATGACTTAAATGACTTAATCTTTTTTTCTGATTTTTTAATATTAAAAGAAAAAAATACAATAAGTCTACTCTTAAGGCCCCCTTTCCATGTATGTGTTTCCAGCAGCCAAAAGGTTGGTTTAATGCAAATGTAATAGGGCCATTTCTGTAAACATTTGGATACCGGGGTAAGTGTCTTTTCCGTAATTTTTTTTGAGTGTGCGCAGCTGCATGCGTGCCCAGGGGGGTTGGAAGGCCGAATGGTTAGGATGTGTGCACTGATCATAATGCCTGTCATTGGGTCGACTGGCGTAGTTTCGAATCCCCGGGTGTACATGACAAGGAGTAGGGTCCCCCCACTGCTAAAGACCCCTACATGCAAGCGAATTATTGAAATAAAATTGAACCATATGTTAGTCCCAAAATGACCTAGTTTGTGTCGAGTGGACATTAAACTACATTTCTCTCTCTCTCTCTCTCTGTCTCGCATGGATGCCCAACGGTATTTTGAACCACAATTTTTTTTGTTAGGTCTTTGTTGCATCGTACAAACACATGTTCTCTTCCACTAAGTCAATCAACCTCTCTTTGCCGCAAAGGGCACATTTTTTGGGACATGCTGTTATTATGAAAAAGGCGGTGACAGAATGTCAACAGTGTCGAGCTGCATCCTGTAAAGAGAAATCCTCACATGTCATTTACGTGGGATTCCCCAAACTTTTCAGCAATTTTTCTGTACACATGGAAATAAAAAAGCTTGTGCGTGGAAACACATACATGGAGAGCAGGCCTTAGAATCAAGATATTCATATTTTGTTCAGTTGATCTAGCCTAAAAGTCATACACATAATGCTACTGGTCATTGCATTTGTACAGTAGTAATTTTTGCCCATACGTTTCAACCTTGCAAAACCTATATGTATCATGATTCACTATTAAATCCATGCTTATTCCATAGACTATTTCTGACTCACTATTATTTTTTATGGTTTTTAGTGCAAAATTGTTATGGTACATGTATCAATATAATTGTATGTAGAAAAGGGGACACCCCCATAATAATTGAGTCCTTTGTTTTCTGTTCGCAAAAATATATAATTTCCTTTTAGCCATATTTTGTTTACAATTGTATCTTTATAAGACTTCTTTAAATGTAAGCTTAAATAATTTCATTTAAGATTGGCCATATCTAAACATCAAATTGTAGGTTACTCACATGTTTGTGTTTTTTAAGAAGTTTGTTTTCAATTGATCACAGGACCTCCCGTGTAAGCCAGTCAAAAGATGCTTTTTCTTGCACAATAATGGATTTAATAAATCACAATGACATTCTACAAAATACTTACATCAAAATGAAAAACAAACAAACCTATAAATTTTAATTAGGATTGAGAAAGGGACGGTAACTTAAAATGTAAAAGGACATCTTTCTTTAAAAGATTTTAGATCCACGATTTTTATGAAATTTATTAACTGGTATAATAATGGTAAAGTAAGTGCTTTTATTTCATTTTTTCTTCCCTTACTTTTCATAGTATTATTGTTTGTTTATTTCAGTCGTATTTTGTCACAGATTATGACCCCACTATTGAGGATTCCTATACCAAACAATGTGTTATTGATGAAGTTGTTGCTCGACTAGATAGTAAGTACTTGTAGTTGTATATGCCTGTACTTAGTGCTGAGAAAAATAGCCCAAATAATCAAAGGAAAAATAAAATAAGCTTAGTACTATACTATTCAAAAAAAGTAGGGGATATTTGATTTTGGGGGCATAATACTAAAATATGCAAATGACTACGAAAAAAGTCACTATAGAACCTAACAGAAGAAACATTTCCAGTTACATGTGACGCCCAAACGCACCAATAGCTACCGCATGGAATGCAGGTGATGCTTGGGACCATCATGGGGGTCCAACCCAAGATTTGCACGACTCTGACTTTGAATGTTACAGTCATTGTGGCATTGAATTCCAGGGTGGAAACATCAGTTTAATTGTTTTAGTGACCAGAAAACAAATTTTGATATGCGTCGGCTTACCCAAAATGAAAGGTTACGTGCCCTTGGCATGCTACAGATCGGCACAACACAGGCGGTTGTGGCGCGGACGATGAATGTTTCTCAGTCTGTCATAAGCAGGCTATGGTCCAGATACCGTGATACACAATCTGTACAGGACAGACCACGCTCAGGTCGACCAAGGGCGACAACTCAAGCCCAGGATCGATTTATCCGTACCTTGGCCTTGAGAAATCGTGTCATCACAGCAAATCAGATCAGCGCTCGTCTTCAAACAGACACTGGTGTGAGAGTGAGTGGCCAGACGATTCGGAATCGACTGCATAGGGGTCACCTTCGCGCCCGACGTCCTCGCGTGATCCCTTGTTTGAGAGATCATCACATTCAGGCAAGACGTCGTTGGTGTAGGGATCGTCAACACTGGGATAATCGACGCTGGAGCAATGTGATGTTTTCAGATGAGTCAAGGTTCACTGTTGATTTTTTGGACAGACGTAGGAGGGTGTGGCGTCGTCGAAACGAGCGCTTCCAAGACGTTAACGTCATCAGACATGATCGATTTGGGGGTGGTTCTGTTATGGTGTGGGGAGGCATCACTGTTGCTGGAAGAACGGCTTTACATGTTGTTGCAGGGCGTGTTACAGGCCAGTGCTACCGGGACAACATCTTGGCAGTCCATGTTGTGCCGTTCGCACGACATCATGGCCGCCGCTTCATCTTCCAGGATGACAACGCAAGATGTCACAGGGCCAGGATCGTTACAGGTTACCTCCAACAACAGAACATCACCACATTACCTTGGCCAGCACTGAGTCCCGACCTCTCCCCCATCGAGCATGTCTGGGACATGCTTGGACAGAGGTTACGTCAACGTCAACAACGTCCTGCCAATGTCCAAGAACTTGCTGCTGCGTTGCAACAGGAATGGGACAATCTGGACCAAAATGACCTTAGACGTCTCATTAGGAGTATGCCACGTCGGATCAATGCTTGTTTGGCAAACAGAGGAGGATTTACCCGTTACTGACTTGGTTGTGATGCTGTGGTAACTTTGCTGTTTGACCCCGGGTATCATTTTACCCTTATAATGGTCAGTCTGTGCCTTACTTAGTCTAACGATCATTTGGAATAAATCGATGAATGTGAACTTCATTTCATTTTGTCATTTGTTTCTTCGTCAGTTTCATTAGGTGACTTTAATAACACTTAAAAATCAAATATCCCCTACTTTTTTTGAATAGTATATTATGTATTACATTTTTGTTCAAAATGTTATGTATCTGGGTGATACTCAAAATGTTATTGTTATTCTATAAATCAACAGGCTAAACCTGTACACATTAGCCAATACTAAATTAAAGATTACAGTACCCATTTGCATCATAAGTAATGATTGACTCAAAGTGTGGCTGATACTAGTCAATGTCTGATTTAATGGAGTGACCGGATTAATTGGAGCGTCACAAAATTATGTCCTAAAGTTTTAAGAATTAACTGAAGGGCAAATTTATGTTTTCAATTTGTCTTTAATTTCAAGAGACAAATTAAACATTAATTATAAATTATATAGGTTTCTTATAAATATTTTTGCTTTAAATGTATGTATGCATACGTACATGTATATACTGTTCCCCACTTATATTACACTCAGGAAATGCTGATTTGTAAGTATGACCTAGTTTCATGTCATTCTGACTTGTGAATGAAATGTGAGATTTAGGGTGGTAGACTTGTGTACTAGAGGTATAAACTGTATAAAGTGATAACAGGCATATGACTTCAACTGTTTTCCCTCTATTTATAACTGATCTAGACTATTGAGCAACTGAAAACCTGACATTGCATATTGGGATTGAATTGATGTGTTTATTATATTTGTCTAAATGTTTACATTATGCTGAAACATGAAATATGTCAGATTACAGCTTTCAGTTCTTGCCCCTGGTATCATATGCATCATATAATCTATAGAGTCACTATAAATGTATAATTCCAGAATGATTTAAATTTTATCGCAAGCACTGATTTGATTTCCTTTATTTTGTCTGAATTATTTGAAATCACCTCATCATTTGATAGATATTTATGTGTGACAGACGTCTGCAGTGCAAGGAAAAATGATTTGATATTAGAGACTGTTTTTTATAGGATAAAATGAAATGCAGCTGTGTCTCTCCTAGGCTAAAGTTATTTTTTATCCCGCGCCGAACAAAGTTAGGGAGGGATATTGAAATGGGGTCCGTCCCGATTTCAAGATATCTTTTTGAAACTTTGTACACACATCAACCTATTACAGTAGTTGTGCCTTTTGCTATTTACAAATTTCTGGGATTTATATTTTTTGTGTTTCCTTGGAAACAAATTCGACTTAGTTTTTGGTGTACAATTTTGTTTCCGGAGCATATCTCATAAACCGTTCAAGATATCTTTCTGAAACTTTGTACACACATCAACCTATTACAGTAGTTGTGCCTTTTGCTATTTAGAAATTTCTGGGATTTATATTTTTTGTGTTTCTATGGGAACAAATTTGACTTAGTTTTTGGTGTGTAATTTTGTTTCTGGAGCATATCTCATAAACCGTTTGAGATATCTTTTTGAAACTTTTTGAAACTTTTTTCAGACATCAACCCATTACGGTAGTTGTGCCTTTTGCTATTTAGACATTTCTGGGATTTATATTTTTTGTATCCCCGGTTGTACATGTACGTGGCAAGGAGTAGGGTCGCCTGTCCAACCTCGTGGGTTTTCTCCGGGTCCTCCGGTTTCCTCCCACTGCTAAAGACCCCTACACGCAAGCGAATTATGTAAATAAAATTAAACCATATGTTAGTCCCGAAATGACCTAGTTTGTGTCGAGTGGACGTTAAACCCCATTTCTCTCTCTATATTTTTTGTGTTTCAATGGAAACAAATTTGACTTACTTTTTGGTGTACAATTTGGTTTCCGGAGCATATTTCATAAATCGTTTAAGATATCTTCTTGGTACTTGTACGTACATCAATCAGTGATTTTCTGGGATTTATATTTTTCGTATTTCCATGGAAACAAATTTGACTTGTTTTTGTGTTCAAATTTGTTTACAGAGCATATCTCATAAACTGTTCAAGAAATCTTCATGAAACCTTCTACAAACATTAACCTATTATATTAGTTGTGCCTTTTGCTAATTTGGAATTTCTGGGATTTATCATTTTTGTATTTCCATGGAAAAAAATTTGACTTAGTTTTTATGCACAATTTTGTTTCTGGAGCATTTCTCATAAATCGTTCAAAATATCTTTTTGAAACTTTAACATACATCATCCTATTACCGTAGTTGTGCCTTTGTCGGATTTAATAATTTTTGCATTTCCAATCCATGGAGAAAAAAAATCTCTGTTGAATGATTTTTACTACACATTTGAATTACATGTAGCTTTTGGTATATAATTATTATACTAGAGCATATCTCAGAAACTGTTTAAGATACCTTTATAACACTTTTACATTCATCAACCTATTATTTTATTTTTTGATGACCTTCCTTCTGTCCCTAATTCATTTCTAGAGCATATTTCATTATCTGTTCAAAGAAATCTTTTTAAAACTTTATACAAACATCAAACTATTAAAGTATTTTATTTTCTGATGTATAAGCTTAAAGTGCACATAAGATGGGCCTGGAAACTTTGAGACACGTGTAGCCAATGGTTACTATATTACACCAATCTGATTGAAATTAATTCAGCTATCTTCACTCAAGTCGCAAAAATATACCTCCTGTAAAAACGACTTTGCCAATTATCGAAAACACTCTTAATCCCCTCAGACGCCAGTGACGTCATAGTGACCGAATGCATATTCGGGATGTTTATTCCTTAATTACCTATATACAGCTGGCGTGTGTATTCATTAACGCCTGACTGATTCCTTAATCCCCTAATTAAATAAAACAATTCACTGCGGAATAATTTGTTTTGTAATTTATTTTAATTTAAGATCCTATTTAGAATTTGTTTTATAATGTCCCACCCTCTCTTCTCACGACAGCGATTTTAAAATTATGTTTTAAAGTGACTTTTTGATAAGAGCCACTCTACCATTAAAGTCAAACATGACTGAAACGTGATTTGTTAATGACGATCCGTATCTCGTCTTTCTTTCTGCATGTGGATTTGACGAACATTACTCTGAAATAGACTGTAAAAGTGAAATATGAAAAAATAGCTCAATATTATACGTTAGAATTAAGAGATTGAGAACGGTCATCCAGCTATCTTTGTGTATTAATAATAAGATGGCAAGTGTACTTTGTAGTGCCGTTAATATCTATCATTAATCAATCCGTCTAAAGTTGCAGACATGAAGCCATAAATTAATTTACATCTCGATGTAGATTAGCGTTGCACACACATGGGGTTATAAATTAATTTACACTTAGATGTTGGATTAAGAATGCTGATTAGGTTATTATTAGCCCGCCAGATCAAAGACATCACTCTAGGTAGAACGTGTTAAAACTCCACGAGCGAACGACACAAGTTACGGGGGAACTTTGCTGCAAACATTTCTCCACAACAATAATCAATTAGATTTGTTCACCGATGTTTTTGTAATAAAGTAGCCTCGTATTATTTGTTGATTGGCGCTTAGACAACATTTAATGGACATGATACGAATCTGAATATAAATTATTCGATAGATAAACGTTTGTGATAAGATTAGGTTATTGTCTAACATTGTTTAACTTCTTTATAAAAAAAAGTAATTAACAATTACATTCACACTTTAATAGCTCATCAAACGACATCAGGAACTTCAGTCACGATGATCACGTGTATTTGATATTCATGTCGATGAATCCCATGCAATTATTGCTCCAAAATTTAACGTCAGTTACTACAGCTGTAGTATGCATAGCACCGTACACGGTAATAAGATTCCCAGCGTTGATTGGCTGAGAAATGAGGGCGATCTATTGTTATGCATAGTCATTGAACAATTAAATATTCGCCGTGAATTTAAAATGGAGTTACGATATAAGTTGTTTGTGTATAGAAATGGTTATTATAATTATATATAGCCAATAATGAATATAACGACAAATGACTGGCACTATTTGTATTTCTGTGCTTATATAGAGATATTTTGGTAAATCAAGTATTATCCAAATTACCGGTAAATGGGCTAATCGCTTGGGTCGTCTCCATCTGTCACGTGGCCTTTTTAAACAAAGGACAAGGATGCTTAAATTGATCTACGGCATGATAAAGCATTTTAAATTCACTCGAAAATACTCCAATCACAAAATGTCTAATCTATAACAATGCAAGACGATAATTCGGTGATTATGATTAGGCCAGTCACCTGTTAATTGGACTGTGACGTGTATATCAGAGATATACTGTACAGGTAGTGATATATTGTGTATAGATAATGTATATACTATGTGTAGTGCCTGTGACGTCACCAGTCAATCAACCGGATTAAGGTCGTAATTGAAAAATTGAAAAGCGTTTTGGCATGTCGGATACTCAAACGTTAATAGCCGAATTCATTTTAATCAGATTGGCGTGAGCTTGCCGTAAAGTGGATATAGTGACTATTGGCTACATGTAGCGAAAAAAAATTTTGGCCATCTTATGTGGTCTTTAATGTTTAACATACCGCACCTGATTTTGGTAGACAAAGGTTGTTGTGCAAACCTTACAGGGAGTAGCAACTGTGCCTTGTCGAGCTACTATGATCAGAGTATGAATCTTCTGACTAGTCCCATTGATATTTCATGAAGTTGTTATTCCTTATGCCTTCCAAACAAGTGCAAGGGTGCTGACTAGTCATCTTGTCAATCTTATTTCAGTTTGTACATTTGGTTTCTTGTTACTATTACAGTTTTAAGATTTAGATGATGCATATCATACTCCCTAATTTTGTTGAGTTACCTTGGTCACTTAAAAAAAAACTTGGGGATGCCCTTGACATGTTATTATTTAATTGACTTGAAATTACACAGTATTTAGGTTTAGACGATAAAAGACGTCTTTTGATTTTCAACAATTTCTGATAATTTCTTTCAGAGTTATTGCCTTTCATTGGTGTACACATAAAAGATCCCTTGGCAGTTGGAATTCAATATGAGAGTAGGCCATGGTACTGCTGCCCAAGCAAAATTTCCCTCATGTAGCACACTATATAGCGTATGCCCATCTTCTCTAGCCCAGTCGGAGCAGAAGTAGGATGTTAAACCCCATTTCATTTTATTGGAAATATCATGTAAACCTATCCTTTGTTAAAATAAATCTGCCTTTTATTTAAAGGGCAATTTATTATGTGTTATGGCTATAATCATTCTTATAATAGGCAGAAGCAGTTTTTCCTCTCTCCCCCTAGCCTCACAGGCACCTTAAACTGGGACTAAAGATTCTGACCATTGTGGCCATCATATTTTACCCAAATCTTATCATGCAGTGTACATGTAGGTCTGATCTTCACTGTCATACAATATTTACATTACATGTATTTATTTTTAAAAATACCATGTGAATCTCTGTAGCTTTTCAGCCTAGTTTATAAATGTATATTTAAAGTACAAGTATTTATATTACAGTATTAGATACAGCTGGTCAGGAAGAGTTTAGTGCTATGAGAGAACAGTATATGAGATCAGGAGAAGGCTTTTTATTGGTGTATTCTGTAACAGATAGAAGCAGGTACATGTAAAACATTTTATTATTAGGCATCCAGCATAAATAACAAGGATGTAACGGTTCAGAAATTATTGAACTGATTAACTCAATAACTGGTCATTAAAAACCCAACCGCAACCAGTTAACCGATAAAAATTTTCTATCAAAATATTTGTTGAACCAAAATAAGACTTAGACTTTTTTCGACAAGTCTTCAATAGGACGGTTCCTGAACGTACAGGGCGAGTGTAATGAGACTTACATTCAGAGTTGAACTAAGGTATCATGAAAACAAATACCGATTAGTTATTTTTTGAACCGGTTCAACAGTGCAACCAAACCATGACCGGTTAATCCAGTGACCGTTTACATCCTTAGTAATAAGCACATTTAGAGTAGAGTATCTTTTAGGGAAATGAAATGTGGTTTAACGTCCTACTCTTCTGCACCACCGACTGGGCTAATGAAGACATTGCATGAAGTGTGCTGTGAGGGAAATTTTTCCTGAAAGGCGACGCTACAGTCTTTTTTAGATTCCAAGTGTCAAGGATTCTTTTACATGCATGCCAATGTGTACACAGGACTTTGTTATTTTATATCATCAGAACGATGTGGATCTTGTTGGGGTATTGATGAAGAAAATTTATGAAAATAACAAAATGTTATAAAAAAAAATTAAAAATGGGTTGGGAAATGATTGCTTAAAAGAATAAAAAGAGTTCTATGAAAAAAATGTTGTGTAATTATGAAGATAGGCCCTAAAAAAAAATGTGCCTCTGTAAAAATGAACCGACATCATAATAAGGTTTCAAGGTTATTGAATGATAATCCACTTTAATACTGTAATAATGTGTTATGAAATTAATGAAGAACAGATCTTGTTGCACAGTGAACTAAAAGTCTTTGTTTATCAATCAAGGTTATTTTTAATCCTTTGCAAACTGAAATATTGTGAAAGATTGAATCTCTTAAAGGGATTGTCAGTCCAAAATGGAAGATATAAATGAGATATGATCAAAACAAGCCAGCACCACCTCATATAAGAATTTGAGGATAATAGTTTCTTCTTTCTTACAGCTTTGATGAAGTATATAAATTTCACAAACAGATATTAAGGGTAAAAGATAGAGATGAATTTCCTATGATTTTAGTCGCAAATAAATCAGATTTAGAAAATGCCAGTGTGGTAAGTAAACTAATACTCTCAACCTAATTGTTTTACAATCAAACTTCATTAATTCCAAAATATCCCCTAAAATGCAATGATTTAAAAGATGGTGAATAGTGTCTGTAAGATCAACATGATTTCGCACAGCCAACTATATTTGTAATTCATAAGATAGTGATTATTTTTGTGTGAAGCCCTAAAAATTATTTTTTTTATAATATGAATTCACCTTAAACAAAGCAAGTTAGGCCTCCTTAGAATAAAAGGAACGGTGGTGCAGTGTGCACCCCACCCCGACGATGAACATAATGTTGCATGTAATGGCCTTATTTCTATTTCGTATGGCAAAATTCATTACATGCACGGCATTGAAATAAACCACTACATTTAAGGAGTGATTCACAATTTCATCATTTTTGTGTTCAGTTACCTGACACTTAAACATCTGTTTACTTGAGTTCTTGGGACAACAATTTATTTGCCATGGAAACATTTCATACTCCCAATGTGTTATTAAATAACTTTGTTATCTAACTTTTACAAGGCAGTATGTACAAATGTTTTTTGTTTTTTTTAAACCGTATTTTTATTCAGGTTGACTGAATGGGATTGGGGAACAGGCTTAGCCTATGTAAAACCCCTCTCCTTGTACGAATGTTGTGTCAGTTAACGATATTGAATGAATGTGAAAGAAATTAGGGCTTAATATGCAAGTTTTAATGATACCAGGATTCCAGTGTATTAATATACATGTACCTTTTATGATGTATGTATATTCTTTAGGTGTCACATGATGAGGGAGCAGAGGTTGCCAGAAGTTTAAAAATTAGCTATATAGAAGCCAGTGCTAAAAATAGGTCAAATGTAGATCAGTCATTTTATGAACTAGTGCGAATTATCAGGTATAGAACATAATATAATTTATTTCATTTTAATACGTGAAAATAATAATTCATTACAACACAAATGAGGGTTGTATTTATGTCTCATAGCCTATCTATGATAATATTTTCAGAACAAATTGAATTGTTAGATAATCAGAAATATTGGTACAATTTCTGATGACAAATTTCTTTTGGTTTCTTATGGTCTGCTCAAAAATAGAAATTTAACAAGAGTAAAAAAATTTGCTATAGTAGCAGATTGAATAACTTTAATAACATTCAAGTCAAGAAAGCCACAGATGCTCACTGAGTAAAATATTCCCTGCTAACCTGCAGGTCTCGTGTTCGATCCCTACGTTGGCTGAGAAAGTTTTTATGGATTTCTGTCATTGTTCCATCTTGTCAGTGGTGCAGGACTAAGGGCTTGGCAAGAACAGCTGTCTAGTCGTTCAGATAGTATGGGGAAAAAAAGAGGTCCTGTGTACACATTGGTGGGTACGTAATTTGATATAAGAGAAGGCCGTAGTGCTGATATCCGGGCAAAATTACCCTCATAGCACACTGAATGGCGTAGGCTCGTCTTTATTAGCACTGTCGAAGCCAAACAGTATGGTGTTAAACCCCATTTCATTTCTAATAACATTCAGGATTCATTTTACAGAAAATTTCAAGCTGAAGAGCGACCACTGGTTAAAACTCCCAAGAAGAAGCCAAAGAAGTGTTCAATTCTGTGACAGCCCTTCATTAATTGCAGCTTTATTGACCTTCTTTGGTGTCAATATATCTGATGTTGAATCAACAATCATAATAATAATATACACAGCATATGGTGGAATATGTGACATAAGTATTAAACAAGTTGACAATAACTTACATAACATGTATTTATATACCTATTTAAGGCCTATATATTATAATGATTTAAGATCTGATGATCTGTTATTTTGTTATTATCTCTTGTTTTAAGAGTCAGTTAAAGTAGCTCTGCAGAACTTACAACATGCATTTTTCTTCTTTTTTTTTTAAAAAAGACATATTTCTTTGGTTTAATTACCGCTGTTACACAGTTTAAAAATCTAATTCTCTTATATTTAAGAGTAGAAATAAGGCATTACCTTTGTAAATATTCTTATGTTTTTAGAGTCTAGAATCTAGATGTTTACTTCAATTAAAATAACTGTAAAATTAAAGGTTTATGATTTTTTCAATAAAATATTAATTTGAATAATCAATATTATAGGAAACTTAAATGAATTGTATTTACCTAAGTACTTCCTTTAATTCACCATTGAATGGTTGATATACAAGGAAGTCATTACATGTTTGATAAAATCTACATGTATCAAAATGTTAAATAATAGTTTGTTAGTCTTTATGTAGAAACTATTTATACCTGTAATCTTACACCATTAGACCTCATAAATCTTTTATTAAATCAAATACTGTTCATATGTAAATAAAGCTTCAAATTTTATGACATATGTACTTAATCTTATTCAAGCTTATCAACACTAATTTAGATTTTCAGAAAATCATACATATAAAATGCCTTTACGAAATAAGTCTTACTTAAATTGGTTATTAATCAGTCACTGAATGTTGTGGATCAGTCTACCCATTTAGAATATTTTAGTTCATTTAGTTTTGCAGGATACTCCTCCTGTCATGACAATTGATCTTCTGCCGATAATCTGGTGAACAAGGTTTAAATGTTCAAATTGTTGCTGCTACAGCTGCGGAGGCAAACTTATATCTGTAATACAGGGAGAGGACAACAGTGTTAGAAAATCCTTTTTATACATGTTCATTTTCAAGGCAAATGACAAAAGTGTTAGAAATTCTTTTAATGCATGTTCCTTTTTCAAGGCAAATGATTAGAAATGTAGATACAAAATCCCTCACTTACATCACAGGAATCTGACCTTCTATCCGTATATATGCATACACCATACCGAACTAGACAATATATAATAAAAGAAAAAAGAACAGGAATGCAATGTCTGTCATTGAATCCATGCGCTGACGTCACACAAAATCAATCCGCAGTGACTAGACCATTGAAACAAGGGCAAAGATATTTTTTAGTTTTTCTCTCCCTTTCCATTTTCCCCCTTTTGCATGGCGATTTTTGTTGACTTTTGGGTGTAGAATGGAAGAAGAGGGTTTAAATATACATTTTCTGCCAGGTTTTGTTGAATATTCATGATCTTGAGGTGGAAGTATACGGGACTTCAGAGTTTGGTTAGGTTTTTGTGTGACGTCAGCACATGGATTCAATGACAACGTCAACGAACGAAAATATTGGAAACAAGTGGCTATTTATGCAAATAAAACGGCCAGATTGAAGAAAAAAAATATCTGAGTGAATCGACAGAGGTTTGATTGCCTGATATTACGAATTGTTGAAAAAAAAGGAGCCGAAGTGAGAGCAGGTAAAATCGAGGCTTTAACAGGCATTGCATTCCTGTTCTTTTTTTATTATATATTGTTCGGTATGGTGTATGCATATATATACGATTAGAAGGTCAGATTCCAGTGCTTACATATACCTTACATTATAATACTTTTTTTGGTTTTAAGTTGTTTTTTTTTATTTTGACAGGATTTTGCTATGTTCAATGTATTCTAGTCATCAATTTCTCATCATCAACAAGCGTGTTCATGAATATTTGTCCCCCGCCTTTCGAAGAAAGCAGGGGACTATTAAAATGGGTTCGTCCGTCTGTCTGTCTGTCTGTCCGTCTGTCCGTCTGTCTGTCCGTCACACTTTTTGGGACACAATAACTCTCTTCCTAATTGAGCTAGAATGTTCAAACTTGGTGTATGTGTTTATTAGGTCAATGCCTTGATGGAGTTAGAAGATGAGCATTTTCCGCTTAGGGTAAGCAGAGATAAGCAATTTGATTGGTTGATGCTTTGGGACACGATAACTCTCTTCCTAATTGGGCTAGAATGTTCAAACTTGGTGTATGTGTTGATTAGGTCAATGCCTTGATGGAGTTCGAAGATGAGCATTTTCCGCTTAGGGTAAGCAGAGATAAGCAATTTGATTGGTTGATGCTTTGGGACACGATAACTTTTAATTGAGCTAGAATGTTCAAACTTGGTGTATGTGTTTATTAGGTCAATGCCTTGTCAAACTTGGTGTAGGTTTTTATTATGTCGATGCCTTGATGGAATTCGAAGATGAGCATTTTCTGCTTAGGGTAAGCAGAGATAAGCAAGTTGATTGGTTGATGCTTTGGGACACGATAACTTTAGTTCTAATTAAGTGAGAGTGATGAAACTTGGTGTATAGTTTCATCACAGCAATACAACGACTAATTTCAATAATGAACATTTTCTCCTGAGGGTAAGCAGAGCAATAACCAATTGATTGGTCAAGACTTTGGAACATAATAACTCTGCTTTTAATTGTGGTAGAATGTTTAAACTTGATGTTGATGTTCGTTAGGTTGATTCTATCTGATAAAGAGTGATGAAACTTAGTGTATAGTTGATAATCAGTTTGATTGCTCGATACTTTTGAAAAAGATAAACGTGCAATTAATTGATATGTGTCATCTATCTATTTCGGGATTTCGGCGGGGGACATCAGCCTCGATGTTGGCTTGTTGGTGTTAATTTGTTAAATCAGTGTTAACATGAATTTATTTGATCTTGTATTTTAGACATCAACAGCTTCATTGTTATATTGAAATAAGATGTTATCTTTATAGATTATTTACTGCTGGTCTATAAACTTAGTAATAAGCTTAATAAATAATTGCATTAAATTGTTTATCAAATATCAGGGGCATTTCTTCTTATAGTACAGGCCCCCCGAGTTCACAAAGCATTTTCAGACTTAAGTTAAGAATTTACTGAGCTTTCAACCACTGTTTATGAGAAATATATCTGATCCAGAAACACAAAATTTGCACATAGTTTCTTATTGATGTATTTGATACATTAAAACAACAGGAGGTTTTATAAAGGGCTTTATTTTATGATCAGTAGTGGAATACCGCGTTTTATCAGTGAAATAAAAGTGTTATTCCACTGGCTAGAAGCGGACAAAGTAGTCCATGTTGTTTTTACCTAAAATGATTGTAAAATCATAAAATAAATAGAACATTTGTCGTTTTGTCGTGAATAACATATTTTATTTCATCTCTAAGCAAGAAAACGTTTATATTTTCACGAATGCGTAGCATTATATATTTTAGTTAAAATAAGGTGAACAATTTTGAGTAAATTCTTAAGTCTGAGAATGCTTTGTGAACTACATGCAGTAGGCTTAAAAGCCCTATATTCAAAAATAAATGGCAAATATAGACTGACATAATATTAAAATCAAATCAATCCTAACATAAATTATAGTCATTTAAGGTTCACATTATTACTTTTCGTTGATTTCTTGGCTCCATCTTTATTTTTTTGCAAATTTTTGTTGACCTCTTAGTGGTAACTCATTTCTATCCACAAACATCAAGACAGGTTGTATCTAACCTATGGTTTTTTATTTGAATCCTGTAAATTATTATCTGAAGAGTCCAAGTTTTTGTTCAATCTAAATAAGAAAAATGTTTATTGGCCTTCTGCTGCAGTACTTCGTTAGCTTTGCCAACCCTAAGAAATGTCAAAATCAGTATGTGTCTTATTTTTATGGTCATTAGATATAACTCTGATTACTTTATGTTTTTGTTCATTAATCAAGATAATCTATGAAAATCTGAAATATAAAGTTTGGTGCAGTGTGAATGTTTGTTCTGTTATTGAATTTTATAAACCATGAGCCCTAATAATGAAAACTTAAACAAAAATATTTTAAGAATATTGATTGTTGATTGGTTTGGTTGAGCATTAAAATCATTGCACAAATTTTAGTTTTCTCTAATGTCAAGGCTGATGTCTTCAATGTAGTTTTCTTGAAGAAGGTGCCAGGTAATCATTTGATAAATATTATTATATAACTCCAAATCAAGAGATTATGTGTTTTCAGAATCAGATTGTCAACACCTCTTTTATAACTTATTAAATATGCCATTTGTTATGTAAATATGTAAAATTACTTACATATCACAGCCATAGTATTAGAAATTTTAAAACCTTTATGAATATCATAATAAAATAAACGTATAATAATATAGCATTGTTTTAGTCATTATCTTGATTTGTTTTGTTTTGTTTTTTTACAGTATTTTTCACTTCACATTGCATTGTATCTACAATTTGTATAATCTATTATTATGACTTATTTGCATGGGTTTTATTTTATTATTATAAATAATATGTAATCATGGTCACACAATATATACATGTATATATGCTATTTATTTGTATTGTATTTACTGTTCAATGTAATCTTTAATATTTTCATCAGAGTTTACTGCCTGTTGATATATACTATTTATTGTACACAAACTTATCATTCCTATTATATACACTTTATTCATTGTACACTTGCTGTGATTCAAACACAAGCTATGAGAACTTTGGCACTAACTCATAGATAATTTATATAATGTGATGAAGGTTAATCTTGGTTAGAATATAGATTTGGTAATTGCTTTGTTTATACAGGAGATAATGGTCTTGAAGTAAGTCAAAACTATTGATTTACCACCCCTTGGATTCACATCAGAATGTTCAATTTGCCAAAATAAGCGAAAGTTGGTCTGTTGACTTACCAGGTGTTTTAATTTCCATTTTTTTGTTCTTTTTGGGAGCAGTGCTCTTCAAAAGAAGCCTAAGATTCTGCTAATTCAAGTAGATTGACATAAAACTTGGCATGCTTATTCCATGGAAAAATTCACGTTTCATGTAGTACTATCCTTCTTTACTTGAACTGCCAATTTAATTTATATAGAGAAACCAAATTCACATAATATAAGATTTAATCTAAATGAGATTATTTTTCTTGTATCAAAGACGTCAAAGCTTAGCTTTTGGTTATTAATGAAATGGGGTTTAACATCATACTGTTCTGCTCCTGACCGGGCTAATGAAGACTAGCATACACCATACAGTGTGCTATGAGGGGAATTTTGCCCGAACAGCAGCACTACAACCTACTCTTATATCGAATTCCATGTGCCGATGGATTTTTTATGTGTTAATTGTGCCAAGGTTCTCATAAGATTAAAGCCAATTGGAGACTCTATAATTTTATACAGTAGTTAATTTAACATTTTTATATAATTATGTTTGATAACTTTATAATTAATAAGATTGATTACTTTATGATATATAAGGTTTTCCAGACTATTAATTATATACTCTTTGTAACATGATATTTACTCTCTGAATGAAATTCATAATATGACTGATGAGAAGCATATAAGTCTAGGAACTTGCCAATTCATTTCATGTAGATGTGCAATATTGTGAGTGCTACTATATGTTAGTGTAAAACCAACAGTTTTTCAAAACCTTAATAATTGTCTTGATTAAATCCATTTTGTTCAGAACAAAATTAAACCAATCTATGACTTATGTAAGATTTAGATAAAGAGATGGCCATTCTTACTATAATAGTTCAAAAATAGATAATACAAAATGAATATATTGAAAATGTCATTTAAATTACTTTATTCTGAGCCAAGTTATTACTGTTTGTAGTTGAGAAGATGTGTGCATTGATTGTTCATTATCGTAACCAGGGTCTGATATATTCAATACTTGGACTCACTCCTTCATTTTTAAATTAAATCATTAAATGGCCAAATGTTCTAATCTAGTTATAATCTTGTGGATCCGATGGCATCCAGAGTTAATTATGGTCTTGTCATGATAATAAATGTCTAATTAATAATTTATATAACATTTAAGGCCTAAAGAAAGACCGGCAATAGACAAATTTAGCTCTTGAATAATGTATCTTTAATAATTTAATCAAAGTTAAAAACTGACATAGATGACTTACAGATTTCTGTGTTTTGTTTTTGTTTAGCTGTCCTTAGAAAACCGAAAGCCCAGAGACTAAGTTTTGAATAGAAACACATCATTGTGCATGTTGTACTGGTAACTGCTTTAATATTCTACATATCTAGAAATTTTTATGCATATTTTACGGTCTTTTAGTCTATACTGTAGTGCTGTATATGTATTTATTTTTTACTATATTATAGTAATTGTATTTTATATTTTGTATATGCTTGTATTGTGTATTATATCTTATATAAGTTACATATTATATACATTGCAATGAATTGTTTTATACACATGATTATGTTTGAAGTAAGAAATGAAGTTAAATACTGAAATATTTGTAAAATACGACGAAAGGAATTGTATAGATGCATGTCTGTCTTTCATAATAATCATTCCTTAGTATTGAAATTAATGTTATTATTTTGACTAAAAGATGTCTGAAGTTGCACAGAAATTCTTGCATTTTCTGATAAAATTGTTGTCTTCTAGTTATCAGTAATATTACAATAAAAGGAGTTTATAATACATACCCAAACTGGTAAATTTATCATTTAAAGTTTGTGATCAGAATTATATTGCAACGTTTTTCACAATTGAATAAAATATTTTCATGAAATAAACTTTTCTTTTCTTTTGAAGAAGTACATATTTTTTATTTATGGAATATTTGTCAACCAATTTGATAAACGCCAATTTTGTGGTCTAAGGGGAGATAACGTTGAACATAAAAGTTCAACTATGTTGAATTACTTAAGGCCAGCTCAATTTTTGTCCATGTCACCGAGATGTAAATAAGATTCAGGCACATGATAGTTGGCAAGATTGCAGGTTAGGATTAGCATTAGCTCTGTTTACATCTCGTGACCATTTGACCAAACTTGAAGTTGGCCTTATCAAATAGATCTAACCGACAGTTTGTATCACAGACTGGTGCAGAACCTTATTAAAGGAGCTAAATCGCAAATATTTGGGACCTAGAAATTGACACAAATCGGTCACAAGGTATATAATAATGTAATCTGAATGTATATAAACTGATTTACATTCAGTCATTTACATTTTTACCCATAAGTCTCAATCGAATGGCAATCTCTAGCGTCTGGTTATTCCTGTCTTGCTCATGCTCTTGCGCATTATGGTACACGATTTGTGTACCAATGGTAAAATGCTTTTTTTGTCTTAAATATTGGATATCAGAAGCCCATCTATTCCGGGTAAGATAATATCAATGTTCATTTAAATTGACAAATAATTTGTGTTTTCAATGTGGAAGACTTTGGATAGAAGAAAATCTCGGGGACAGAAGCCGAATGGGATAGAACAAAACTTTAAAAATGTGTTGGCCATCAGCCATGTAAAATTATCAAATTGGAAGTGCATCTGGGAAGACTAAGAATCATTTGCTTTTAAATAATTAATTGGTCTGTGGTACTACACAAAGGCTCTTCATCAATTAAGATGCTCTGGTATTTTAGTTATTTTCCATTAGATTACAACACTTTCTCGAGGTTTCATCAAAATTGTGGCCCCAACTCGAGTACTCCGCTCTAGAGGGTCCACAATCTTGATATCCCATATACACTTTTTGCGTAGGAGGGCGGACATTTTTCCCAGCAGTTTTGGCCCGATTTTCACGAAATTCGAACTCAACCATTGTTAGAGTGTAACGGTAAAATATCCCAATATTTTTTTTAAAATCAGATAAGAATTGTGACCTCAAGCTAAAACATGATTTTTCGTACAATCAAGGGCCATAATTCAGGAAGTTACGATCCGATATGCGCAAATATCGAACGGAACCAAGATTTTTGGGTTATATACATGAACTTCAAGTTTCATCAAAATCCGATCAAAATTGTGACCTCTAGAGGGTCCACAAACTTACACTATTTGCATATGAGGGGCGGCCATTTTGTCAGGCAGTTTTGGTCCGATTTTCACGAAATTCGAACTCAACCGACATTAGGGTGTTACGGTGATATATTTGAATGTTTCTTTTCAAGTCGGACAATAATTTAACCTCTAGCTAAAAATGCGATTTTTTCTTCGATCAGGGGCCATAATTCAAGACGTTAAGATCCGATGTGCACAAATATCGAAAGGAAGTAAGATCTCTGGGTTAAAATCATACTTCTAGCAGGTCCACAAGCTAAAAACATGATTTTTCATACAATCACTATCAGGTGCCATAATCCATGAAGTTTTGATCTGAAACATGCCAATATTGAAAGGAACCAAGATCTTTTGGAGATAAACCTATCTTTCAAGTTTCGTCAACATATTACTTTATTCTGAGCAAAGTTACAAGTGTTTGAATATGTTCTGTAGATTATCATCGTATGAACGGTACTATTGTTAAATTTTTAAATCTTGGTACCGGTACGTATTCTAATCCATTCAAATCTCAGCAATCGGATGCGTTAGCGAGGGGACTATTGGCTTTTCATGTGAAAAAATGTCTAAATAATAGTTTATGGAACATTTGAAACCAAATTAAAGACCTGCGTCCTGCAATAGGAAGATTTAGCTCTTACATAATGCATATTTAATATAATATTAAAATAGATTATGAGTAGAATCCTCAACTTCATTTAGTTTCACCTGTTCACGAACTTGTGTTATTTACAATTGATAGGCAATGGGTTCAATCTTGATTATCATGATACATTTTTGCAGGTAATTCATCCTAGTTTAACAGAAACCAAGGAGCAGAAACAGGCTTTGATTTAACTAAAAGTAGTCCATAGCTTTCTGGTACTATGAAAAACAAACAAAAACCACTTTCAAACAAGACAATTTGCTATGACAAACATGTTTCATAAAAAACAAATTGTTAAGTATGGTTTCAAGCATTTACTGCTTTGTTAGTGATACACAATATTATGAATTGAACCACAATAACAGAAGATAAGCTAATTTGAAAGGCTCTGGAACAATTATCAAATATTTATCTTTATCTAATTTGATGATATAAAGATGAGAACAATAGCTACAACTGTTTTACAATATGAAGAATAAAGTATTTCTATACGAATTTATACCAATTCCTATGTAAACATTTTTTTACATAAAATAAATAAATGAATAGGAATGTCACAATGATAATTGTTAATTAAAACATTATTAGCGGTTTCTTTATACATTTCAAATAATCATGTGTAATGATAGGAAATAATGAAGTGATACCAGTCATGCTATTAATTTTATTTTGTGTAGGCCGTATCATTAATAATTTGAGATAAATATTTACAATAGCAATGTTGTAATAACCAAGAAGAGAAAACAAAATAATAATCTGGGGTTTTTTTTGTAATGTGTTGTATTTAAGCTCCTCCTGGTCGAAGACTCTTCTTTTGTGAGAGATTAATTTTATCACCCATACTCAAAGCCATACCCTGTAATAAGACAAAAACATTTCATTAGGTATCTTGAATGGGCTTTTAGTGAATGTCTTTTATTACATTACACATTTACAAGTTTTGAAGCAACCACATTTTCTTGTAATTCTAACATCAGTCCTTTAAATTTTGTTTTGCTCAAGTCTTGTTTATCACCAATGGCTCAATACAGTTAAAAACGCTTGGATGACCTTGTTTGTTCTTACACACATCCAATGATACAGAACTATTTTGTATTAAAAGGGAAGTAATGAAATGACATGGGGTTTTATGTCCTACCTTTCTTTCCCAACTGGGCTAATAAAGACGATGGGCTGTATCGAAAATTTTAAAACTTCTGTAGGACACGGACAAGATAACATCATTAGTGGCATCAACATTATATATACAACATGTAGGTGTAACTTTACATAATTTCATACCTGACTTTTGGCTCTTATTCTGATGTGACCTTGAACTGAAGCATCTTTTCCAAGGTGAGCAGGTTTTTCAATACTAATGTTAGACAGAACATCTTCTCCAAAAATAGATCTAGCATACATGTTAGCAGCCATAAATCCACAATCTCCTGACAAAGCCTAAATATAAAGAAATACAAATCAATAACATACATGCTACATGCTAACATATTTAACTTGATTTCAGTAATCAAATAACACAAATAGTTAGGCCATAGTTATTTTATTTCTTTGATTACACAGCTTTTATTTTATTGCTTGCAATATATATATTCTTAAGTGTCACCTTCATGTACTTTCCTCAAAAAACTTTAAAAACAAGCCAACAGTGAGGCTGAATTCCCCCGCCAAAATAAAAAAAAAAAAAAGACGACACATTAATTGCACATTTATATTTTTTCAAAAGTATCGAGTAATCAAACTGATTTCTATGCTTAATCTAAGCATAAAATGTTCACTATTGAACTCGGGTTTTGAAGTACCTGGTAGTGAGCGAAACTATGCACTAAGTTTCATCACTTTCCATCAGTTAGAATCAAAGTTATCTTGTTCCAAAATCTTGACCAATCAAATTGCTTATCGCTACTTAGCTTAAGCAGAAAATTCTCATCATTGAACTTAGTCAATGTATTGATATAATGAACCTATACTCAGAGTTTCATCCCTCTCACCCAATTAGAACCGAAGTTATTGTGTTCCAAAGTCTAAACCAATCAAATTGCTCATCTCTGCTTGGCCTTACTGGCAATTCACGTAATAGACACCTTCACCAATTTTGAATATTCTACCTCAATTAGAAGGAGAGTTATTGTGTTCCAAAGTCTTGACTAATTCCTCTACTTTGCCTACGCAGAAAATGCTCAGCATCGAACCTTGTTAAGGTATTGGTGTAATAAAACTATACACAAAGTTTCACCACTATCACTCAATTAGAATCGAAGTTGTCGAGCTCCAAAGTCTCGACCAATCAAATTGCTTATCGCTTTGCTTACCCTGAGCCAAAAATGCTCCCATAATCAAACTTAGTCAAGGTATTGATGTAATGAAACTATACACCAAGTTTCATCACTTTCACTTAATTAGAACCAAAGTTATCGTGTCACAAGGCATCAACCAATCAAATTGCTTATCTCCGCTTATTCTAAGGAGAAAATGCTCATCCTTGAACTCCATCAAGGCATTCACCCAATCAACGCCTACACCAAGTTTGAACATTAAACCTCAATTCGAAGGCGAGTTATTGTGTTCCAAAGTCTTGACCAATCAAATTGCTTACCCTGAGCAGAAAATGCTCCTTAGCGAGCTTAGTCAAGGTATTAATGTAATAAAACCAACACCGAATTTCAACACTCTCACTTTATTAGAACTAAAGTTATCGTGTCCCAAAGCATCAACTAATCAAATTGAATATCTCTGCTTATCCTTAGCAGAAGATTCTCACCTTCGAGCTCCATCAAGGCATTGACAAAATAAACACCTACACCAGGTTTGAACATTCTAGCGCAATTACAAGGAAAGCTATTGTGTCCCAAAAAGTGTGACGAACAGACAGACAGACAGACAGAGACAAACACATTTTAACAGTCCCCTGCTTTCTTCCAAAGGCGGGGAATAAAAACAACAACGTAGTGCTATCAACCCTATAGCACAATCATTGAATGGAGGCTGTATTTAAACACAATGGGTATAGTCAACTACCTCATAATTAAATCACTAAGTGCTTACACACTTTTGGACTAAAACCGCTCTCAATCAGAGTCATGACGGCCACTCCTTGGATGCCTTGGTTAATAAAAATAATGTTATGACTATGCAGTTCATCTTTATTGCAGATTTTTTTTATCCCAGTAGTGGCATTCATGACGATGTGTAAATCTTGACGATGTTTACATTTCGGTTTGAGTGGCATTTTTTGCCTTTATCGGAACATTTAATGTCGGAAAATGTGTTTTTATATTTATATTTAATTTTCATGAATAATGATGTCAGTGGATCTGCAAACCAAGTACCAACAACAGCTAAGGACTTCTGTTAAATTAATACAAAAAAAAGAAGTCAGAACAGGAGTAAGAGCTTAACAAATCTTAACTTTAATAAGAACATTTTTTTTCTTATGTAAAATGGTAACATTGACTATATCAATTGAATTTTCGGTTTCCTTTTCACTATGAATTAACAAATTACTGGTAGAAGCTTAAATTAATTTAGTCAATTATTACCTTTTCTGGAGTTAAACATTTCATATTGGTACATTTCATGAGGTGCTGTAAATATTCTGGTAGGTCTGTGATGTTCGTATTAACTGCTACTTTATTCTCCCACTCAAACTCAGCCCACATCTGTCTAAATTCTGTATCTGTGCATGATGCTGGTACAATATAATCCATGATATCTATATGTATATCATTGAGAACTACACAGTTACGATCACTTGCAGCTCCACTTACATCATACACTTGAAAATAAATTTTATATTATATAAGATATATTCCTCAGAAAAATATAAACATTACTATATTACATTTAATCATTTGTAAGATATAATCATCAGTAAAATAAACATTACATTTATATTACATTTAATCATTTGACAGAAATAATCCTTAACAAAATATAAACATATCAGTTAGGCCTACAAGTAAATCAGACGATCTAGTGCATTTACAAATCTCTACAAAGTGAGAAAGGGAAGGAACTCTTTAAGTAATTAATGGAAATTGTTGAAATAAATACAATTTTTCATTTCACTTTTTTAAATATACTCTTCAAGCAATCAGGTGATAACTTTTGTCACTAGATCATGCATGAATTTCTGGAATAAAATTGCTACAAAAAATTTAAAAAGATCAGATGATTATGTTGACAAGAATTTGTGAACGAGGGATGGTTGAACGGGCAGGGGTGACAGCAACAAAAAAACACATTTCAATGTGGGTATATAAATGTATTTACCTATGTTGCCAAAAATGATTCCATTTTCAGTTGAAGCTACTTTCACATTTGCTTTAATATTACAGAAATCATGAGGTGCCATTGTCAGTGGTTGTGGTTTCTCAACTAATTTCAGATCACCTATAAAAAAAACAAAATAAATTACACAACACTGATAAATGTTATTGACAATCATAAATGGTAGTGGACATTCCTAAATTGACTAATGGATATCATAAAATGGCAACCATCAAGTTGTTTAGCAAAATTTTTAAAGATCTGTTAATGACAACTATCCTGTCAACTACTACATAACGTAATGGACAAGCCAACAGTGAGGCCGATGTCCCCCGCCGAAATCCCAAAATAAATAGATGACATATTAATTAATTGCACGTTTATCTTTTTCAAAAGTATCAAGCAATCAAACTGATTATCAACTATACAATAAGTTTCATCACCCTCTATCAGATAGAATCAAAGTTATCTTGTCTAAAAGCATCGACCAATGAAATTGCTTAGCTCTGGTTAGCTTTAGCAGGAAATGTTAATCATTTAAAACTCAGTCAAGACATTCACCTAATGAACATCAACATCAACATCAAGTTTAAACATTCTACCTCAATTAAAAGCAGAGTTGTTACATTCCAAAGTCTTGACCAATCAAATTGCTTATCGTTCCTTATCCTAAGCAGAAAATTCTCATCATTTAACTTAGTCAAGGTAATTATATAATGAATCTATACTTGGAGTTTCATCACTCTCACTTAATAAAACCAAAGTTATTGTGCCCCAAAGTATCAACCAATCAGATTGCTTAACTCTGCTTACCGTAAGCAGACAATGTTTATCATCGAACTCCATCAAGGCATTCAGGTAATGAACACCTACACCAAGTTTGAACATTCTCGACCAATCAAATTACTTATCGCTCTGCTTACCCAGAGGAGAAAATTCTCATTATTGAACTTAGGCAATGTATTGATGTAATAAAACTATACACCAAATTTCATCACTCTCACTTAATTAGAACTAAAGTTATCGTGTCCCAAAGCATCAACCAGTCAAATTGCTTATCTCTGCTTACCCTAAGCAGAAAATGCTCATCTTTGAACTCCATTAAGGCATTGACCTAATAAACACCTACACCAAGTTTGAATGTTCTAGCTCAATTAGAAGGAGAGTTATTGTGTTCCAAAGTCTCGGTCAATCAAATTGCTTATCGCTCTGCTTACCCTGAGCAGAAAATGATCATTATCGAACTTAGTCAAGGTAATCATGTAATGAAACTATACACCAAGTTTCATCATTCTCATTTAATTAAAACTAAAGTTATCATGTCCCAAAGCATCAACCAATCAAATAGTTTATCTCTGCTTACCCTAAGCAGAAAATGCTCATCTTTGAACTTCATCAAGGTATTGACCTAATAAACACCTACATCAAGTTTGAACATTCTAGCCCAATTAGGAGAGTTATTGCGTCTCAAAAAGTGTGACGGACAGACAGACAGACGGAAAGACAGACGAACCCATTTTAATAATCCCCTTCTTTCTTTGAAAGGCGGGGGACAAAAATGATTGAAATTATAATCCATGGAGATGGGAAATGGAAGGAGCAGCATTTACATTAAAACTACAAAATCTGTGCTTCATCTTTAACCTAAGACAAAAATTAGTTACTGCTTGTAAATAAATTTGTATTCAGCTTAGTGTACAGTAACAGTAAAATTTATATACATAACACAAGACAATGTTATTGTGTAATTGAATTCCTATTAAGAACACAAAAAAACTGATGATGAGATAGATGTAGATCCTTATAAGCAAATAAGTAGTATGAATTTTTGACAAAATAAAAACTTTCAGAATATTTTTTTGTACGGCCTTAACATAATTGGACATGAAAGCATCTATATAGGTATTAAAGATGATAAAATATTTACCAAGTGTAGCAAGTTCTAATGTAAGATTCTGTAAGGTATCTGATGTTTGGTTAACTATCAATACATCCAGTACAATATCATACTGATTTACATTAACATAAGCTTCAGCATACACAGGATCCGAGAAACCTGTCAACTGTGTAACCTGTTAAATATAACATAATAAAAACAAAATATAATTATAATTCTTACAGTCCTTAAAATAATTTCAATCGTATTTCAACATCTTCTATTTTACTGTTAAATTTAAAAACTGTTGATATTTTCTTTTCAACTTGGAATCGCACATTGGATTGATTAATTTACTCTCACCTTATTCAGTTTAGATGATCCCATTGGATCTGTTTCCTTTTTAGTATTCATACCAAGAGCCTGGGACATGGTCAGCTCAAATAAGTTCTGCAATAAAATGATATTAAAGATGTTATTCCATACTCCTCCTTATTTTTAAGCTTGGAACATAAGTTTTTAACATTGTAGGAAAATAATATCTGCTGTAGCTTCAGACCTTAAAATGGGTGCTTTACCAATCTTTCTATCATTGAAAAGGCTACTGAATTCTGCATTTCAGTATGTAAGGCAAATGTAGAATACAAAATGAAGAATGAAATAAAAACAATACTAGCTGTTTACTCAGTGTTGCATGGGTAGAGCCCTGAACCGACATTAGTATAACCCCGAAAATGTGACTCCCCAGCCCCGAACTGCCCTTATATAACAAATTTCATACACAGGGCAGCCCTATTGTGGCCACCAACTCCGAACAGATAACAAAAAGACAAAACAAAAATAATTTTATGGCCCCTGCTTTAACCATTCAATACACATCTCCAAACACATATTTACATTGAAGCAACATTACCTCTCCTGTACCAAGATCAGCTCTGTTTATCAGTTGAGTAAAAGATATTGGATCATCAGCATGTACTCGTACTACTTTATTTTCAGATGCCTGAAAAATATCAAGTATAATTTAACATGTTCCATTGACATGTCTTAGAACATAAAGTTCTGGCTGTAGAGAAAATATTCATAATTCTATATTTTGTTTAGTAATATACATATTCTGTTTAATGACACTGTTTAATAACTAAATATTTCATTAAAATAGCGAAGTAATTAATGATAATTAACCTACTTCTTGCACAGCTTTTTCCTCCTCTATTTTAGCGGCCAACATCAAAGACAGAGATCCACGACATTCTTTATTAAATATTTCATTCATTAAGTCAGTTCTTTCAGCCAGAACCCGAATACAGTTAGCAATACGATCTACATCATCATCAGTAATAGGCTGAAGAGAGAAAATAATTGAATACATTATCTTTATTTTCAGTTAGTAAAATCTGAATCAAATTTTAATCAAATAATTCCACACAAAACAATTAAATCGTTCAAATAAAGATAGGTTGCCAGGCAATGAAAACATTTACAATACACTAAAATCAAAGTAATTATCAGCGGTCATTAGAATTAGCATCTTTGAAGATCAATAGACTTGACCTTAAACACTGTGTATAAATTAAATCGGATATTAACTTTAGCCCCTAGAGCATCCACAAGATTTTTAAAAGTGATCAAAGGCCATAACTCTTTCAATAATCATTGGTAATTGTTGAAAATCAATAGGCTTTTTGTCTTATGACCTTTAATACGTGTATCAATTTAAAGTCAATCAGATATTAACTTTAGCCACAAGATTTTTAAAAGTGATCAAGGGTCATAACACAGACAGTAATAATCGGAAATTGTTGAAAATCAATAGGATTCTTTGTTTCATGAACATAAAGCAGTGATGGGATTTCACCCGGACCTGTCTGACGCTATTTTCCAAACGTCCAAAATTGTCTGACCAGAAATATATGGTGAATAATATTCAAAATTCCAAAATTAATATAGTGTAGCGAGTATATATCGGACAATTCATTAATCTAATCTTAAACAGAAGTCACTGCTTCCCCATTGTCGGACTATTCATCAATCCAATAAGAGTGGTTATATTTGTCCTCCGCCTTTCGAAGAAAGCAGGGGACTATTAAAATGGGTTCGTCCGTCTGTCACACCTTTTGGGACACAATAACTCTCTTTCTAATTGAGCTAGAATGTTCAAACTTGGTGTAGGTGTTTATTAGGTCAATACCTTGATGGAGTTCGAAGATGAGCATTTTCCGCTTAGGGTAAGCGGAGATAAGCAATTTGATTGGTTGATGCCTTGGGACACGATAACTTTAGTTCTAATTAAGTGAGGGGGGTTGGATGGCTGAATGGTTAGCACGTGCGCACTGTATCATAAAGCCTGTCATTGAGTCAACTGGCGTGGTTTCGAATCCCCGGTTGTATGTTACAAGGAGTAGGGTCGCCTTTCCAACCTTGTGGGTTTTCTCCGAGTCCGCCGGTTTCCTCCCAAAGACCCCTACGTGCAAGCGAATTATTGAAATTAAAAATTAAATCATATGTTAGTCCCGAAATGACCTAGTTTGTGTCGAGTGGACATTAAAACCCATTATTGTCCCCCGCCTTTCGAAGAAAGCAGGGGACTATTAAAATGGGTTCGTCCGTCTGTCTGTCCATCTGTCTGTCCGTCTGTCTGTCCGTCACACTTTTTGGGACACAATAACTCTCTTCCTAATTGAGCTAGAATGTTCAAACTTGGTGTATGTGTTTATTAGGTCAATGCCTTGATGGAGTTCGAAGATGAGCATTTTCCGCTTAGGGTAAGCAGAGATAAGCAATTTGATTGGTTGATGCTTTGGGACACGATAACTCTCTTCCTAATTGGGCTAGAATGTTCAAACTTGGTGTATGTGTTGATTAGGTCAATGCCTTGATGGAGTTCGAAGATGAGCATTTTCCGCTTAGGGTAAGCAGAGATAAGCAATTTGATTGGTTGATGCTTTGGGACACGATAACTTTTAATTGAGCTAGAATGTTCAAACTTGGTGTATGTGTTTATTAGGTCAATGCCTTGTTTATTTTGATTCTATCTGATAGAGAGTGATGAAACTTAATGTATACTTAATAATCAGTTTGATTGCTGGATACTTTTGAAAAAGATAAACATGCAATTAATTAATATATGTCATCTATTTATTTCGGGATTTCAGCGGGGGACATCAGCCTCACTGTTGGCTTGTTCTCTCTGTCTCTCTCTAATTAAGTGAGAGTGATGAAACTTGGTGTATAGTTTCATTACATCAATACCTTGACTAAGTTCGATAATGAGCATTTTCTGCTCAGGGTAAGCAGAGCGATAAGCAATTTGATTGGCCAAGATTTTGGAACACAATAACTCTCCTTCTAATTGAGCTAGAATGTTCAAACTTGGTGTATGTGTTTATTGGGTCAATGCCTTGATGGAGTTCGAAGATAGGCATTTTCTGCTTAGGGTAAACAGAGCGATAAGCAATTTGATTGGTTGATGCTTTCGGACACGATAACTTTAGATCTAATAAAGTGAGAGTGAGAACACTTGGTGTATAGCTTCATTACATCAATACCTTGACTAAGTTTGATAATGAACATTTTCTGCTGAGGGTAAGCAGAGCAATAAGCAATTTGATTGGTCGAGACTTTGGAACACAATAACTCTCCTTCTAATTGAGGTAGAATGTTCAAACTTGGTGTGGGCATTCATTAGGTGAATACCTTGATGGACTTGATGATGAACATTGTCTGCTTACGGTAGGCAGAGATAAGCAATCTGATTGGTTGATGCTTTAGGGGCACGTTAACTTCGGTTATAATGAAGTGAGAGCGATGAAACTCTGAATATAGATTCATTATATCATTACCTTGACTAAGTTTGATTGTGCAAATTTTCTGCCTGGGCTAAGGAGCGATAGGCAGTTTGATTGGTCAAGACTTTGGGACATAAAAACTCTGCTTTTAATTGAGGTAGAATGTTTAAACCTGATGTAGATGTTCATTAGGTGAATGTCTTGACTGATTTCAATGATTAACCTTTCAAGCTAAAGCTAAGCAGAGCTATTCAATTTCATTGGTCTATGCTTTGGGACAAGATAATATTGATTCTATCTGATAGAGTGTGATGAAACTTAGTGTGTAGTTTGATTGCTCGATACTTTTGAAAAAAATAAATGTGTGATTAATTAATATGTGTCATCTATTTATCTTGGGATTTCGGCGGGGGACATCAGCCTCACTGTTGGCTTGTTTTAATCTTCGTGTTTACCTAGTGGTTTCTCCATTGTCGGACAGGACATTTTAATCACAGGATGCATCAACCGACAGCATGTAAAAACTAGTCACAAATGTCACATATCGTAAGAGTATATAACACCCTTAATCAATGGACAGTCATTTTACGTCTTTTAAGACTCCATATAGAAATTCTCATCCACAGCAGCACTTTCCCACGATCTCGATTGCCGCACAAAAATTTCTTAACATATAAGGCAGTGCTTACTATGAAGCTATGTGCTATGAGTCATGTACACCATACGCTGAAGTTAACTATGCCTTTTTACAAGTGATTTCACTATCAATGTAATTTTAAAATACTGATTTATGAAGAAGAAAATGATGTTTTGACATCACTACAAGTATTATTATTTCGAACACCTTTCTTTCATTTGCTGCCATATAAACCAAGATATAATTGTGGAGGAATATTGCTGGTGTGAGTTTGAAGCAGGTACGGATCAGCAAGCTTTCATTCTATCGTATTACGAAAACATGTTATCTTGTAGGAATCTTACTGACATAAATCTGAATACCATACAGGAATTAAATAGCGAGGTGTTCCTATTTTTATTACACACGGATTTGAATATTTTGTTGACATTTTATAAAGAAGAAAGCGATGTTCTGACATCACAACCTATTCTTATTTCAGAAGTTCTTTACCATTTGCTGCCATATAAACAAAGACACGTAATTTTGGAGGAATATTATGGTTGTTAATTTGATGCCGAAGCAGTATCCGCAAGCTTTCATTCAATGTATTACGAAAATGCTTAATTTTGTAGGAATGTTACCGTACAGGAATAAATATAAAAAATAGCGAGGTTCACCTATTTTTATTACGTACGGGATTTGAATATTTTGTTGACATGTCATTTTTAATTGTGGTATGAATTCTTCTGCTTAAATAACTATAAGAGTTATGGCCCTTTATTTTCAGTAAAACGTCCAACAAGAAAAATTTTGAAATCCCATCACTGCCATAAATACTGGATATTCACTGTAGCCTCTAGAGGAGCATCCACAAGCAATTGTGAACAACAAACGGACAGGGATGAAGACAATATACGACCACATTTGAATGTGGGTGCATAAAAACTCACCTTAGCTGGTAAACCAGATTTTCCCAAATGTATTATAGTTGCCATAATCAACATAGACTCGGCCACGAATGCCTGAAATTAACAAATATACAGACGTGTTATATATTTTCATTAATAACACATAATCCAGTTTTATTTGCTATTTGACAGTGATAGATTTGCAAAAAATAAATAAAAGTACAGGTCTTATTGATATTTATCTAATCATCCAGATGAAACTTACATTCTGTGTTTTGGGATTTTTATGAAGACTGATATATCTAAGAGCCAGTTTAGTCAGGGTTGTAGATAGAGCTGCACCAACAAAGAAATCCCCCTCCATTAAATACTGTCGTAGTGGAGGTCTGAAACCATACATAGATTAGATTATTTTCATTTTAAAAGATAATAAATTACGGTCCCCTACAAAGACAGACAAAAGCTTTAAAATATAAGATAAATAATACTTCAGTGAATATTTAATCTCAAATGACAAGTAATTATGTAACAGCTAGGGGCATATGCATTCGTCAGCAGTAGCTAGTATTCATTTATAAATAGTCATGCATGTGATATTCTCTATACAGTAATCAAATAATAAAGCCATATAAAAAATCTAATGTTGATTGATAAAATGCTAACTTACACATCATCTTTTTTACGTGTTGAAGCTGTACTGAAAGCACTCTGTGTAGCATAGGTTCCATCAGCTGTAACAAGGCGTTGAACAGCACCACCAGACTGAATTTCTGAAAACATAATCATCAAGAATTTAACATATACAAGCAGAAACGCTTTTGACGTGTTTCGGACCTTTGGTCGAAACACATATTGTTTCTGTAAGTGTTTTTATTATTTCTTTTTGTGGAATTTAGTCAGTTTGTGCAGAAAAAACTGTACATGGTGCAAACATTCTGCCAACGTAGATGTGGTTGGCCTCTGTGCGTCTATTTATTAAATATAAATTGGGTCATTTTTGACGAACAGGAAGTGTTTTACAGATGGGACAAAAAATAATCTCAGATTGCCCATATCTCGGTTATTTCTCAACGGATTTTCTACGGGTTTTCATGTTTGGATTCTTTGGATGAATCCCATATGGGCTCTGAAGGTTTTTCAAAATTCGGATGTTTGTTCGATTAATATTAGCATCAAAGAATTGTGTAAGTTATCTTCATCATTTTTTTCGACATACAAGATGACGTATCTCTGTCACTATTTGATGTAGCAAGTTGAAATTGGGTAGGAATAAGGAACACACCAATGCCTTCACAATGGCATATTCAAAAATTTTGTGACGGCTTCAGGAAACTTACGAAAATTACCGAGACCTTCCGACTTTTCCCGTACATGAATAGTTCTCTCCATTTTAAAAATAGACCCAAAATGAGATATGGTGGTGTTAGCCCCAGATATTATCTTTCATTTTCAAAGACCATGTTCCTAAATATTTTCAACCACTTGGCCGCCATATTGGATTTCACAAAAAACCTTCAAATCGATATTCAGCTGCCATTTTAATTCTGATTTTTGAAAACTTTTTTTTGCAACAATCCTAGGGAGCAGATTCTTGATTTTGATTTCGTTTACTTCCAGTTTGACTTTGAATTTTCTTCGACTTTTCAAATTCTTTCTGGAGACCTAACCTTTTAATGACCCTTGACCTTTTCATATATGATGACCCTCATGTCTACCAACAATTATGTGATGTGACATGACATACCAAAGTTTTTTTTTAATTTGGTTCTTAATTAAATTGCTTAAGATACATACCTTCATCTTGAACTTCACCAGCAGCTTTCTTCATCTCATCATCAACGATGGGTATCTACAAATATTATATCATTCTTCTTTGATTGGCATTTAGTAATTGAACATAATAACACAAGGTAATAAACTCAGTAATTGTGTATCCATAAAATTGTACCTAGTGTTAATATATCATTGTTTATACATCACAAAATGTACACTAATAAGCCAACAGTGAGGCTGATGTCCCCCGCCGAAACCCCAAAATAAATAGATGACACATATTAATTAATCGCACATTTATTTTTTTCAAAAGTATCAAGCAATTAAACTGATTATCAACTATACACTAAGTTTCATCACTCTCTATCAGATAGAATCAAGATCATCTTGTCCTAAAGCATCGACCAATGAAATTGATAAACTCTGCTCAGCTTTAGCGGGAAATGTAAATCATAGAACTCAGTCAAGACATTCACCTAACGAACATCTGCATCAAGTTTAAACATTCTACCTCAATTAAAAGCAGTGTTTTTATGTTCCAAAGTCTAGACCAATTAGATTGCTTATCGCTCCTTAGCCTAAGCAGAAAATTCTCAACATCGAACTAAGTCAAGGTAATGATATAATGAATCGATACACCAAGTTTCATCACTCTTAATTAGAACTAAAGTTATCATGTCACAAAGCATAAACCAATCAAATTGCTTATCTCTGCTTACCCTAAGCAGAAAATGCTCATCTACGAACTCCATCAACTAATAAACACCTACACGAAGTTTGAACATTCTAGCTCAATTAGAAAGAGAGTTATTGTGTCCCAAAAAGTGTGACGGACAGACGGATGGACGGACGGACAGACAGACGAACCCATTTTAATAGTCCCCTGCTTTCTTCAAAAGGCGGGGGACAACTAGACTCAAATTATACATTCTTATCCAACCTATTCTATATTGAATATCCAGTCAGTCATTCACTGTTCTACTCGTCCAGTAGGACGTTAAACCCCATTTCATTTCATTTCTTCCACTCGTCCAGATATAAAGTATGCATATATCATAAAGATATTCTAGACAATGCACTTGAAATGTGACGTACTAAAATACTGCTAATTACCTCCCCTAAAGATTGTCTGATTAATGTCATAACACTCTGGATATCTTCACCGGAAGTACAATATTCACCCAATATCCATAATGCTGCTCGATGAATCCTGAAATACAGAAAATCAAAATTAAAGTACAACATTAATAAGACTAACAAGCCAACAGTGAGGCTGATGTCCCCCGCCGAAATCCCCAAATAAATAGATGACACATATTAATTAATCACACATCTATTTTTTTCAAAAGTATCGAGCAATCAAACTGATTACACACTGGACCCTTTGTTCTGACTCGGGCGTTCAAGTTACTGATCAACCTGTAATGTGTTGTTTTAGCACGTGCACAAGTGATCATTTGAGGAAAAGTAGGTGTTCATATAAATGAACACTCCAACATACTAACCCGGTGATTGTGAAAACAGACCACGCATTTTCGTGCGTGCACTGTATTAGAAATAACACTGTGTTAATAAAAACAAGTTTGAACATTCTAGCTCAAGTAGGAAGAGAGTTATCGTGCCCCAAAGTATCAACCAATCAAATTGCTTATCTCTGCTTATCCTAAGCGGAAAATGCTCATCTTCGAACTCCATCAAGGCATTGACCTAATAAACACATACACCAAGTTTGAACATTCTAGCTCAATTAAAAGTTATCGTGTCCCAAAGCATCAACCAATCAAATTGCTTATCTCTGCTTACCCTAAGCGGAAAATGCTCATCTTCGAACTCCATCAAGGCATTGTATTGTTTTCCAAAGTCTCGACCAATCAAATTGCGTATCGCTCTGCTTACCCTGAGCAGAAAATGCTCAATTATCAAACTTAGTCAAGGTATTACTGTAATGAAACTATACACCAAGTTTCATCAATCTCACTTAATTAGAACTAAAGTTATCGTGTCCCAAAGCATCAACCAATCAAATTGCTTATCTCTGCTTACCCTGAGCGGAAAATGCTCATCTTCGAACTCCATCAAGGCATTGACCTAATCAACACATACACCAAGTTTGAACATTCTAGCCCAATTAGGAAGAGAGTTATCGTGTCCCAAAGCATCAACCAATCAAATTGCTTATCTCTGCTTACCCTAAGCGGAAAATGCTCATCTTCGAACTCCATCAAGGCATTGACCTAATAAACACATACACCAAGTTTGAACATTCTGATGTCCCCCGCTGAAATCCCGAAATAAATAGATGACATATATTAATTAATTGCATGTTTATCTTTTTCAAAAGTATCCAGCAATCAAACTGATTATTAAGTATACATTAAGTTTCATCACTCTCTATCAGATAGAATCAAAATAAACAAGGCATTGACCTAATAAACACATACACCAAGTTTGAACATTCTAGCTCAATTAAAAGTTATCGTGTCCCAAAGCATCAACCAATCAAATTGCTTATCTCTGCTTACCCTAAGCGGAAAATGCTCATCTTCGAACTCCATCAAGGCATTGACCTAATCAACACATACACCAAGTTTGAACATTCTAGCCCAATTAGGAAGAGAGTTATCGTGTCCCAAAGCATCAACCAATCAAATTGCTTATCTCTGCTTACCCTAAGCGGAAAATGCTCATCTTCGAACTCCATCAAGGCATTGACCTAATAAACACATACACCAAGTTTGAACATTCTAGCTCAATTAGGAAGAGAGTTATTGTGTCCCAAAAAGTGTGACGGACAGACAGACGGACAGACAGACGGACGAACCCATTTTAATAGTCCCCTGCTTTCTTCGAAAGGCGGGGGACAATAAAAAAGAAATTATTGAACATCATTACGAAAAAAAGAGAGAAAAGTCAAAAGATTATCTAGATGAATCTAGAGTTGAAAACACTCAGTCACCCTACCATCTATAGAACATACCCATCTTAACTTTCCAGTGCAAACGACATAACATCGCATTCAAATACTGTACGAACTGTCAGTTCTCAAGATAACATTTTACTTACTTGACAGCTTTGATCGTAGGGAAAACTTCCAACAGTTTAGCCATAACTAAATTTCTTAGTTGTTCAAATCTCTGTACAGCTTCTCTAATAAAAACCAATACATCGGCTGCTGCTAATTCATTCTGATCTCCTAAAAACTCCATCAACTTTAATCAAAAATATTTATATTTATTAAATATTTCACTAAATTAAATAAAATATGTGAAAAATTAATGCATGACACACATAACTATTTGGTATATATTTTCACCTCTATACTAGTTCAGAAATTCAACTATTCTTCATTAGTTAAATCACTAAACTTATGTGAATAATTAATGCATGATACACATAACTATTTGGTATATATTTAAACATCCATAAAAATATTTATTGATATGATCGGGAGAAAAATCTGTCATCAATAAAATATCTGAGAACATATGTCCTTGATACATTGACATCAATATACTCTTCAAAAAAAGAAACGCGTTGTGACATTTCGTCGTCGATATACCCTCGTCTCATTGCAACAGGAACCGCGACTCGTCGTTGAACCAGACTGTGGCCATACCCTGTGTGTCTGAACCCATTGAACTCGGATTTGACGGGGTCTGCGTATTTCAAAACAACAGCTCTTACGGGACGCCTGGCTCATAATACGATTTCACTTGGCATCTATTGACTGTCTGGTCTGAGATCCCACGCCATCCATGTTGGTACCTATCCCAAAGGCGAGAAATGGTACACTGGGAAACATTCAGCAACCTGGCTACATCTGTCTGGTATTCACCTGCTTGTAAACGACCGATAGCGTTGTTGCGTTGGTCTTCGTTCAGGTGTTGAGTGTTTACATGTGCAACTGATTTTGAAACCGAGAACCCCAAGATTTTAAAGGCCTTAGATTTGGGTTTCATGCAAAAAGCTTGCTAAGTTGTTAAACACATATGCCTTGGTGCAATCAAGCAAAAACAAATCTTGGCAAAAAGTATGACCAGTCAGAATTAGTGACCATACATTTAAAACCAATAATGAATTTCTTTTATCCTTATATAATGACATTACATTAAAAACAAGTAAGATTTATGGAAACAACGATCTTGTTCAAATAAAAAAATGGGCTGTGTTTCTATTTTTGAAAAGTATATATTATATAACCCTAGTCTAAACATTTGATTATATACCAGTAAGAAACAATAAACTGCAATTATCAACTTGACAACAAAAACAAAGTGGTTACCTACATAAAAACAACAAAAACAAAGTGGTTACCTACATAAAAACAAACTAATATTTATCTATATTCCTATGTGAATGATATAATACTTACAACAGGTATTATAGATGTAGCTACATCAGGGAACTTAACACTACACTGATGTAATGTACGGACCAATAGTTGACGATATTTTCCTGTATCTTCATGTTCAACATTATTAGTCTTAACCACTTCTTTCTTTAGGATAAGTACCATCTGAGAAACAAAACAATCAAAAGTCCATTATATATATCTTAAGTGTTTTAATTCAGGTTATTTTTTAATTCTAGAAAATGTCACAAAACAAACTATTTATCTTTTACGGTTTAGATTAATGTTGACCCATTACACCAAGAATTTCAAATTCTTAGAAAAAAAAAGAAGAAATGGGAAACATATTTGACTTGGGTTAGTATGACACTTGCTCACTCACTGACAAGAAAGTTCCTCTGGATTTCCCAGCCTGGTTCCCCTTGATAGTGGTGCAGGATGGACAGCATCTAGTCATTCTAATGGTTATGAAAAACTAATGTCCCAAGCATGCAAATTAAAGATTCCATTCTTTTTGAAACTGAAATAAGGGTAGATCATAGTGCCGTAGTCAGAGCAAACTTGTCCACATTGTATGGTGTAAGCTGTCTTCATTAGCCTGGTTGGTGCAGAAAAGTAAAATAATAAATCCCACTTCATTTCATAAAACCAACAAAAGACTACATCCAAAAATATGAGATATAACATTTTTCTTACCTCTTCAATACTTCTAGATGTAATGAGTTCTAGAGCCAACTGTAAAGTTTTCTTTCTCACTTCAAGATCTGGAGCAGCTAATACTCTTAATATATCCATCACTAATTCCTAATGCAAAATTACAATATACATATATATAGACACATCAAAGGGCTTTGGGGAACATTTAGCTAAAAACTAGCTACCAGCATCCTCCTGCATAATACAAGCAATTTAGAATTAAGTCTTAAACTGTATACAGGCAAATGTTTTAAGCCAGGAAGTGGGCAAAGTTATTTCCTATTAACAATAAGAATAAAAGTAAGATGAGCGGAGGTTGATTTAATTACTTCTTCAGAGTTCGCTTAAAGCATTGTACAAATTATATCATTTGCATATTCCATGAAACACTCATGTGAAGACACATGTTTAACTTATCTTCAAATTTATATTGAGTCTATTTTATTCATAACCCATAATGTAAGAGCATATATGTACCTGTAATACTTTCTCATGAGCTGGAACTTCTTTTAATGCTATAAGTCTATCTAGTACGATAAGTTTAACATTATTATCACTCTCTTTAACAATAAGCTCAATATAACATGTAGCAGCAGCCTGAAATATTCATTAATCATACAAGGTTTATGGTTTACAATATAAAGTCTATATTTGTATCGCAAAAAAAAATATAACACGTATTGTCAATGTTATTGTCAAATACTAAGATCAATGTATTCAACATATTAAAACACACTTACAAATGATAAGCTATTCACGGATGAAATTATGACAAATGAATGTAGAAGCAAAAGAACTATCAGGAACAAAATATGCATACCTTTATAGCTGTTGGAGCACTAGACAGTGTTACTAATGTACCAGCAGCTTCATATCTTACAGCGGGACTTGATGAGTTTAATAAATTATAAATACAACGAATAAATCTAGCACGTTCTGATGGGTTGGTATGGCACACCTAGAATTTAACAATTGCATTCATTTCAATGATTATAGACATACAAAATTATTTTCAAACCATTGATTAAATGCATATTCCATAAAAATAATTGTTATTTTAGATAAAAATCATGGATGATAAAACAGATTATAATTAACATTTTAAATTTGATACATACATGAAACTAAGTCGAATTAGTGATATCTGATCGCTAATACTCAAACTGACAAATTCAGTATCATTACCTTATATATCAATTCAACAATTACTAATTGTAAAATATCGCCAAATGATGTCACTTGATCAATACAGCTACTTAAGTAGTTCAAAGCTCGGTCCTGTCAAAATTAAAGAATTAATTGAACAACTGTTTCAAAGAAAACTAAGCATAAGGGTCACATAAAAAATATAAAAATGGTATTCAATGACATCTTGCTACATGATACAATCCAAAATATAAGTACAAATCAATCAGTTCATTTTTTTTTTACTATTCAAACACAAAAATTGTTTGAAAGGTAAAAGTAGAGTGGTTCACAGTCTCAGGTATGTTGCTAATAAAATCTGACCTTCTCCTGTCACCATGATCCACCAATGATCAAAATTCTCAAATGAAAACTATTCAGCCACAGGGTCACACGTGCGCTGCAGACAGCAAACACTCGCCAAAAATAGACATTCACATGACAATATTCATCCACTTATTTATCAATGAAGCCATGAAAAAAATTTCTTCTTTACACATTGGACTTTTAAAAATACTTAGTTACGAACTTGATTAAAACTAATAAAACTTAGGCTAAAACCTGGCAATTGTATTTCTAATTTAGTTGATTGTAACCAATGACGTATATATTGTAACGGTTCTCGTTCAGAGATGAGTTTTAGAAGTTAAATTGTTGCTAACTCTAAATACGCACAAAAAAATTGAGACCAGATAATTACTGAACGAAATGTATTTCCGTAGGCTTAACGAGACTTGTATGATTACAATAAAATTGCGATACCGGTCACAGAACTCGAATTGTAATCTTTTTAGGGTGTGTAATATGTGCTCTGTTTTGGATGTCTATTGTTTTATATTTGTCTGTGATAATTACTGGAAACATAATAGGATTATCATAAAGGATATTTAATGTCTACAATATAAGTACAGTAAGTACTTTCTGCATATTGCGTTTTTATGGTAAACCACAAATTTCTCCGTTATACGAAAGTTTTAACTATGATCTAGTGCATTTATAAAAATCAGCGAAAAATGTAACTGATATTTGAAGTTGTTTAGTTCCATTTCTTTCTATCTGTCTCTTGTGTTCAAAAACTAAAGACTGCATATGCGTACAAACATTAAATTCAATCGTTATTTGTATGTATGTTAAAAAAACGAAGAATTCCAAATTAATTATTCGTTCCAGAGTAAAGTTTCAAACGTTAATATAATCAAGAACTATAACTTGTTTTATCACTAAGAGTTAACTCCCTTGATAATGGGAGCCGATCATTTTTTCAGTAATTTAAAATCACATGTCCAGATGGTTATATTCTGAAAAATTAATTTTCTTCTGACCCTGAACCACTCTACTTTTGGCAAAAGTACGAAGATCCATACAGATACCCTGAACACTTCCAGAGTAATTCTCTGGACAAAAAAACAGGTTTGACAGAATATGTCAATCTGTTCAGAACAGGATGATAAGCCACAATAAAATGCATTTGTGACTTTTGCTTATTTTGTAACTGGGATTAAAATATGCACTATGCTTTGTAATTTAAGAAAGTCACTTAAGCAATGCACAAACACAGGTTAAATAAAATAACACCTCTATTGATTAATAAACCTACCTGATCAGCATGTATTAACATCATGAAAGCATTTCTTTTACATGACATGTCTTGTTCCCCTTCAAGAAAATTAGCAATTAGTTCAGGGGCATCTGGGATCAGAAAATCATGATTTCTGAAAAAAAAAATCCACACATCAAACAGGAGCTTCTAAATGGATAAATTTGGACATCTTGAGAAGATGTGCTATGCTCTGAAAGGTCAAAACCTAAAGTTTTTTGAAAGAATAGATTCATTTATTCAATTTGAAAATCATCAGCGAAATCAAAAAATTTCCGTCAACACTTGTATCAAACTGTCTGTGGCTCCCTAAATCATAAACCAGATACCAACCTGTAGATAGTATAAATAGCAAGTACAGCATTTCTTCTGACATATGAATGCCTGTGTTCTAGACATTGTCTAATAGCCGGCATCAATGGTTCTAATAGTTCAGGTTCTTTAATTTTACACAAAAAACGCAGAGTTGATCCACGAATGAATTCATTGGGATGCTGCAAATCCTGTAATGGTAACAACACAATTATAAACAAGCCAACAGTGAGACTGATGTCCCCCGCTAAATTGAAAAAGTAATTAGAAGACAGACATTTTTTAATTGCATATTTATCTTTCTATAGAGCATCAATCATTTTGCTTATCAGTGCTTAATGTGAGCAGAAAATGTTCAATATTGAAGCAGAAATATGTTCCAAGAGGTGACAGACGAACAGATCCATTTTAATAACTTAGTCAAGGTATTAATGTAATGATATAATTCTGCTAAGATTTACTATTCTCACTCAATTAGAAACAAAGTTGTCGAGCTCCAAAGTCTCAACCAATCAAATTGCTCATCATCGAACTTAGTCAAGGTATCGATGTGTTGAAACTACACACTGAGTTTGATGTTACTAAACTATACACCAAGTTGCTCATCATCGAACATAGTCAAGGTATTGATGTACTGAAACTACACACTAAGTTTCACCACTCTGACTATTGGAATCAAAGTTATCATGTCCCAAAACATTAGCTCATTATTGAACTAGTCATGGTACTGATGTAATGAAACTATAGGAAATGGGCATTATCGAACTGAGTCAAGGTATTGATTTAATTATATACGCCAAGTTTCACCACTCTAACTCAATTAGAATCAAAGTTGTCAAGCTCCAAAATCTCGACCATTGACTTATCAAATTGCTTATCACACTGCTTAACCTGAGACGAAAATGCTCATTATCAAACTTAGTCAAGGTATTAATGGAATGAAACTATACTCCAAGTTTCATCACTTAAGCAAAGTTATGGTGTCCCATAGCATCGACCAATCAAATTGCGTATCTCTACTAATAAATTCACCTAATAAATTCTAATTCTTTTAGAAGGAGAGTAATTGTGTCCCAAAAAAAGTGATGGGTAGACTTTTTTTTTAAATAGTCCCCTACTTTCTTTGAAAGATGGGGGACAATAAAAACATAACAAATTAAAAGTATTCATATGTCAAAATGAATTATCCAACCAAGTTTCATAAAATTCCATACATTTACACACTTTAGTTTACATTTGCTAATCTTGTTGAGGATTTTGCACAGAGATTATGTTCTCTAAGTTTAAAATTTAACAAGTATTTCAAAAGAGTCCTTACATTTAAAAATGTCTCTGATTTTAAGACAAAAAAACAACATTTAGAACTGATATTTGGAGAGACACCGGACACAGAGTTGACAAAAATATATGTCTACATTACAAGTGGCCCTTCCATAAACCAAAGATCATGTTTATGAACCTTGTACATAAGTCATTTACTTACCTTTCTGTAGGCATCACAAACAAGAATCATTTCTTGCATGAGTTTGCCATCTGGTAATGTTTTTGGTACAACTTCCCAGAAAACCAACAAGAGTTTTTTGATCATATGGTCCTGCATGGGCATCACAAAACGTATGATTGTCATCAGTAAGGATGGCATCTTTTCGCCATTTAAAATCATTTGGATAGTTTTCTTTAAAGCTTCAATCTTGGATTTTATATCGCCCTTTTCTGAAACATTAATACAGAAATCAATAATCATGAGTCATGAGACTACATGTATATGTTGATGTAATTAAGAAATTAATTCAGAAAAAGTAGAGTATTATTCTTCAGAACATTCAATGACAGATAATTGATCAACAATTTGTTTGCAATAATTGAATATATTTGCTGGACAATTTTACAGTTAGGCTCAAAAAACAAGATTTGGTAGAGTGTTTTTTTATGAGATAAATGTGCAGAATATTATAGTTAAAATGTAAATGTCCAATTTATTACCTAAGTCCTGTTTTAACTGCATTTCAGTTGGAGGTTCTGCGTCCATAGGCACGTTAATCAACGTGTAACAAGCTTGGTCTGCAAGCGACATCTTGTCTTTTAATGACTGAAGAGAAAGAAATGAATGAGAAATAAAACAAATTGTATATTACTCCATAATATAATTAATATTAGTATAATCAAAATCAAGTTAATTTAGGTTATTAAAATAATAGCCAAACATTTTATATCGCACCTCGAATTAATCTAAATCAAATGAAATAGTACATTGCGTAATATTTCTTGTAAACATTAAATGATTATAGACATAAGTAATAAAAGATTTATGGTTTTCTAACGAAGCATAAAAATAAAATCCAAACGATCTTTAAAAGCTAATTATCAGGCTTATTTTCAATTTAAGAGCTATTTCACCCAATGGAAACCAATGTTATATGGGGAGTGACTAATAAAACCAACATGTACATGTAAAAGATAAGTTTAACTAATAAACCATGAACAACCAGACATTTCCTTAAGTGTTTGATATCAGTGTTACACTGCTGCAATGTGTAAATTAAAAATTCTTCTATGTATTAATTACATGTACATGCGGAGGTATAAATGTTATAAAAGAAAGGGTTCCTGGCTTAATTAAACATGTGTGTATTTCATTAAATACATGTAATTTTATATACACGATGTATCCATGATAAATATCCCCAGGAAGGTAAAACAAACAACCTGTGCTATAAATGTACAAATAAAAATCAAAATAAAAATTCAACTTTCAACAAAATAAACTCGTTTACTTTACCATTTTTCTTGCTGCTATGAGAAAATTTTAAAACAAAATGATTCACATGATAATCTCTATAATTACATAAAATCATTTAACAATAATAAAGAAACAAACAAAAACAATACAATCCAACAGTGAGGCTGATGTCCACCGCCGAAATCCCAAAATAAATAGATGACATATTAATTAATTGCACGTTTATCTTTTTCAAAAGAATCAAGCAATCAAACTGATTATCAACTATCTATATACTAAGTTTCATCACTCTCTATCAGATAGAACCAAAGTCAAAGAAATTGATATAATGAATCTATAGTTCTATACTCAAGAGTTTCATAGCTCTCACTTAATTATAACAAAGTTATGGTGCCCAAAAGCATCAACCAATCAAATTGTAAATTATCGTAATTTGGCTAGGCAAAGCATGTAATGACTGAAGATTCTCAACTTTTCAAAGATTTCAATTTCTTTTATTCCCAGGCTTACCTACCTAAATTTCGTTTCATCTTATATGGCCGAGTTCGTAAATTTGTGCGTTACCCTTTCAATGAAGTCCGCCAAGTCGGTTAGAAGACAGGGACGTATTTTTTCACAGCGCGTTGTGTCGCTCATACTGGTTCAAGCGAGGTAAGCAAGGTCTTATTTTCTCACTAAGATGTTCATTTATTTTGTTCAGGCGTTCATAGGGACTGACACGCAACCGTTTAGCAGTAAAAAGTTGCCCAGTAAAATTGACTGGGAAGCGATTAGATTATCGACAAGGATTCAATGCGACAGTCCCTGAACGTACAGGGCGAGTGTAATGAGACCTACGTTCAGAGGTGAACTAGGCCAACCAGGTAGGGAACAGTGTCAAAATAATCTTGTCAGTTGGAAATTGACGAAGGGGAAAACGCCAATGTAAATGTTCGGTCATAATCCGGTTGGTTTTATATCAGCAGTTTATATTATAGTTAATTCTTATTTGTCAGTTATGCTGCCTTTATCATCACTGCAAATTAATTCAAACAGAGATAAGCAAAGTTTACAAATCGTTCTCGTTGAGTAAAAACTTAAAAACGAAAGTCAACAAAAATAAAGATGTTGACGTCGCGATGCATGATTTAAGTTGTCAAATACGGCGACCAACAAATTTCTAGTACCTTGTTCAGCAAGCAGATGTCATAATAAGTAATTAATGATATACTTACTATTAATGTAAACTGAAAAAATACCAAGATATAAGTATAATTTTCTGCTTTTGTTTTCTTGCTGACAATAATTATTAACGTGGCCGGATATCTGTCATACTTTAACTCCACCTATCGTCGGTAATAAAAAGATAACTCGTGTGTGCGGGTGCTTAATACTCGTTTATCCAGACTGAGAAAGCGTGACCCTGGATATTACACATTTTTTAAAATTATTTTTTCTTCCGAATTAGCTTTTAAATTATAAAGAGAAATAACTAAAACACTAATTCCCAATGTTTCTGTTTATAGGCCTGCAGCCAAAATTTCTAGCATAAAGTTCCGCTACATGGTCCTCCCAAATAAACACACTATACATTTTTGGAAAGCTTTTAACATCAGGAACACAAATCCTGAGAGTTCCAAGCAAAAAGTCTGCACCAACCCGATTGAGGGCCAGATGAAAATTGTGATAATTGTTAACTAAATGCTATATTTATACTAATAATTGAGAAGTTGACATAAAATTAAATATTGGCGAAAACACCTGATGCCTTCATCCTATGCAAAGAATATGCTGTTGGTTAAATTTTGATTTAAAGCAAAACGCAGAAAACATAATGGACAAGGAAACATACAGAATTTTGGAAACTCATTTATGGTAAAAGGAGTTATCTCCCTTTTTGGAAAATATCAATAATTATTGATAACAGTAAAATGATTTAACTACAGACAAGGGCCTATATAAGTTCAACCTTTTTTTTCAGATAGAATTTGAAGCTAAAGGTCTAACAAATATTTAACCCGAAACATTGCATCTACAGATATTTAGTTTTCTCACTAAAATAGATATGGCCAAAACTAAATAATACTGTAATGGGAGTGACAATATTGTAATGAAGAGTAAAAATGGAGTTTAATGTCTTACTGTTCTGTACCAACCCATGTAATGAAGATGGGCTTACGTCATACATTATTGGTTATGGGGGGGGGGGGGGGCATTGTTTCCCCTTGTTCCCCTTGTCCGTGGCTCACTAATCAGGAGGTCTGGGGTTTGATGCCTGTGTTGACCTCGACAGTTCCCCAAACTTTCCACTTTCCAGCGTTTTTTCCCCTTGTCAGTGGTGCAGAAAGCGGGGGAGGGGGCTGTGATGGGCAGTGTCCAGTTATTCGGATGGAATATAAAACGGAGGTCCCGTGCACACGTTGACGTGCACGTAAAAGAACTTTAAATTCGAAATAAAGAGTAGACCGTAATGTATGGCGGGCGTATGTACATATTCATTATAACGGTTGATTTTTTTTTTTCTCTGCATTATAATTGCAACTCACTTACAGTATTATTTAGGTTTTGACATATATCTATTTTAGTGAAAAAATTACATATACATGTAGATGCTTTGTTTCAATTCAAATATTGGGTACGAATTTAGCCCCAAATCTAATCTGAACTAAAAGTTTACATATATATTAGTAGAAATACTGCTCTGGGAGAGCTTATATGCACACCCGCCCTCACAGATTCGTTGAACCGTCCATTTTCGGGCAATGTATTTCACCTTTTCGGGCACAAGCTTCAGAGAATGTAGAATGCGACTATATCCCATGGAAATATAATTGTATATTTGTGTAATTAATTCAAAATAAACAACCATCACAGCTTTGTGGAAAATTCAATTGATTCATTCAGAATTTTTTTTAGGCAAATAGGCTCAGCACCCCACCCCACCCCCAATTAAGATTAGCCTCCTACAACCATGTAGCCCCTTAACCGTTCTTCAATCTGATTCAGTTTGTTGAATCAAATATTAATTAAACTATTGTTCTTCCTCCCCCTCCCATCCGAACGATGGGCATTGTTATTCCAGTCCCCTCCCATCCCATACCACTGACTGTGTAAGTGTAATAAATGTGAAAATGAAACAAAAAGACTGTTAAAGAAACCGAACTTGATGTTTATACATGTAGTGACAGTGATGATGATAACGACTAACTTTCATGACATTTAAAGTGAAGAGTAGCTGCGTAATTTTGATTTTCAATAATTGATTTACTTCAATAAATAATTTTTGTCTTAAATCTATATTTGTTAGCAAATGACAAAATTATAGATACGGTTTCAGTTTAAATGTTTGTAATTCGGCCTTAAATATCTGAACTAGAGGTTTACAGGTACCTGTAATAAAAATAACGTAGGGTCTAATTGAAAGGTTATGTTGGTGTGGGTTTATGTTTTAGTGGAAAAATCACATGGTTTCAATGCGATTTACAAAACTACGGACATAGTATGGTCTCCATTACTTCATAGACATATTGTTCAACCAATGTCAAATATCTCCTTGCTCATCAGTCTATGCGCTCCGCCCATAATTTATGGGTAAACACCCGCTCCCAACCCTTGCAGTCCCCTGTGACCCCATTAACGATATAAATATTGGGTTTGTGTGCTCACACATGGTCTTGTGTGTCATACAGCATCAGCAGTCAACACGCACCTGATACTGTTACCTATTGCAAACATTTTACAGAAAGGGAGATAACTCTCTGTTACCGTTAATGGATTTCCAAAATTCTGTATATTTCCTTGTCCATTACGTTTTCTGCATTTTGCTTTACATCAAAATTTAACCAACAGCATATTCTTTGCCTAGGGTGAAGGTATCGGGTGTTTTCGCCAATACTTAATTTTATGTCAACTTCACAATTATTAGTATAAATATAGCATTTACTTGACAATTATTACAATTTTCATCTGGCCCTAAATCGAGTTAGTTCAGACTTTTTGCTTGGAACTCTCTGGATTTGTGTTCCTGGTGTTAAAAGCTTTCCAAAAATGTATAGTTTGTTTATTTGGGAGGACCATGTAGCGGAATTGTGTTTCTAAGCAAGGTAGAAATTTTGGCTGCAGCCTATTAGTCAGTCTAAACAGGCCCGCAAGCACCCTTTTCTCCAGATTATTGCACGCAAGTACCCTTTTCTCCAGGTTATTGCACGCAAGTAACTATTCAGTTAGATACAGCGACGTACTGGAAGGGACCTGATTTTAAGATGGAAGTGAGACTTCTAGAAGTAAAACGTAGACTTTCAGAAGAAAAACCGGTGCTATGCTCTATACTGATCCCTGGGTTAAGAGCCTCTAGTTGCGAGGGTCGCGATTAGCTAACTTTACTCAGTAGTCGAATATTTCATTCCATCTCATTTGCGTTGTATCTATGACAGATTGGCTAATTAAAACACGACGGGATAGAGTTTTTCTATTATTCTATTGCAGGAGCTTAAAGCTCTACGATGGAAGGTCTCATGCGTACCAAAGTGAAACTCATCCAAGAACTTTTGATCCTCAACACATAGTTTAATTTTTACTTCATGAAATGGACAAAAATTGTCGCCTCTGGGAGGTCCACAAACTTCTTTCATATTTCACATTTTGCGTAAAAGGCATTTGGCACAACGCAAGAACGGAAGGTCCGATATATGCGCACCAAACTTGAACTCCCAACACTCGTTTTAAGTTTCATCGAAATTGGATAAAAAAAAATGTTACAACCTCGGTATTATATACTTTTACACTATTTGCGTAAAGGGGAGCGGCCATTTGACGGGAAGTTTTGGTCCGATTTTCAGGAAATTCGGACTCAACCATGTAACGGTGATATATTTGAACGATTTTGAAAATAAGATGAACATTGCTACCTCCAAGTTAAAAACGTGATTTTTCGTACAATCACGGTCAGTAATCAAGAAAGTCACTGCCCAATAAGCGCAAATCGGAAATAAATTGTGATCTCCCAGCCGTACCATGCGATAGAGCACGATCGGGATAGTTCAAGGATGGATCTTTTACGTGCACGCCAATGTGTACACGGGATCTCGGTTTTTCGTCCCTTCCGAACGACTAGACAGCTGTCCTTGTCAGGCCCTCCGTCCTGCATCACTGACAAGGGGAAACCACGCTGGAAAATCTGGATGAACTTTCAAGGCCAATGCAGGGATCGAACACCCAATCTCCAGGCTAGCGAGCCAGCGTCTTACCCACTTAGCCACGTGATCCCCCAGGTTCCATGGTAACACCCGGAAGTTAGAGAATGAGGGTTAGGGTATGGTATATTCGAATTTTCTTGATGAATTTGACAGATTAAGATCTTCTTATTTGAATATATATATAGGCCCACGACAAAAAAAAATGGTGAAATGTTCCATGTTACCAGTTAACCCGGATGGAGTCAGCGTTGTATATAAGAAAATGTTTCAAAAGCATTTCTTCATCAACATCGTCAAAAATATAGTTTTAGAAATGAGTAAATTTCAGAAAATATAGCAGGCGAAACAACTGACATGGGCCAATGGTCCGGGCCATTTGCGTTCGGGTGCTGGTTCAGACTAGTCGCGACCACAGTTTACATCCGATGGTCGCCCTGGGTATTATATGCTTTTACATTATTTGCGTAAAGAGGAGCGGCCATTTGAACTTTGAATTTGTACTCAGTCGTAATGGTGTAAATAGTGATATGTTTGAACGGTTTTTACAATCAATAAAAATTGTGCCCACCTAAAAATTTGAGTTTTCGTACAATCAGGGGTCATAATCCAAGAAGTTACGGTTAAAAACATACATTGTAAGTTTCATCAAAATCGGATAAAAACTGTGATATCTATATATAAGGCTCTGGTTTAGTCCATATCGGCCCTGCGAGTGATATGACAAAATTAAGAAAACAAGTCGAAAGTTGCACGTGCATTACATTTTAGTAATCACGTGTTCACAAACGGGCATTCATTTTGTGCAATGTTGTCAAGCGTTTCGGATGACAAACGGATCCACGCAAGTCAGTTTGTAGAAGAAAAGTTGAAAAAGAAAACATAGATTATGACAAAGAATTATTTAAAGGACAATATTGGTGCCAGTCATTATCGCATATGTGATAGAGCTGGTTAAACACATTCCAAATATTATTGTAACACAGATATCATTGCTACGATAGCTGAGTAATACAGGGTTCCTGAGTCGGAAGTGACGAACGCCAAAGGAAAACACGAGTCATATCTCTATATAACTGACTGATGTGACGAGTGATAACAGATATACGGCCGAATTTCTGCTCACTAATAATTCCTCCGAAGACCAAAAGTTGATACATGGGACTGTAAGA